TGATTGCACTCACACACCTTCAAGCATTAGCTGAGCCAGGGTTATAGTGATTGCACTATACACCTTCAAGCATTAGCTGAATTGGTTATAGTGATTGCCCCTGTATACCTTCAAACATTAGCTGAATTGGTTATAGTGACTGCACTCATACACCTTCAAGCATTAGCTGAATGAGATATAGTGATTGCACTCATACATCTTCAAGCATTAGCTAAATGGGTTATAATGATTGCACTCATACACCTTCAAGCATTAGCTAAATGGGTTATAGTGATTGCACTCATACACCTTCAAGCATTAGCTGAATGGTACAATACACAGTTCTGAACACTAATGTTACGTTATTTCATGACATGTTACGTTTAAGAGCATCCCATACTCTAGAGTACATAAATACCAATAGGGAGAGGTAAAACAGAGACTACATTGTAAAGGTATGCTTCAATGAAAGATCATTCTGCAAATCCAAGTTGATTAAACATAGGTTAACCTAGAAAAAGAAGTCATTGTTTGATTTTTGTACAAGAAAACTCATTCAACTATGATAGGAAATTAATCATAAATAATGAAGAAATGACATTAATTTATTTCAGTACTATGCTGCATTGTTAGGGCAACAGCCATTATCTTCTAATAGGCAGGCAAATTGAAGGCAATTGGGTAAAATCCTGTCAATTGACCTTATTTCCAATGTACTTGAGGATTACTTGTGATTGAGGAATATGAAAAATCAAAATCAAAGACATGGTAAAACAAGGAACATACAAAAACAAGTCATTAGCATGCAAAATGTCATCACCTGCCATTTGTTACAGATGCTGACCATGGACCGCTTTTATAAACACCAACCATCAAACACCAGAGACTATAACAATATGTCACCACCAGAAGAAGTGAACATATGTGTATATACATAAAAGATGTACAAGTCATAATATAATGAAACAAAGATATGTGTATTTCTGTCAAGTTTTATCATGCCTAGCATGTGGCTTCACCCCTAATTAAATTACAACTAACTGAAAAGCTTAACTCATCTGAAATTGAGCTTTCAAACCTTATAGAGCTCTTAAGGTCAATATCTATATATGACAACAGGTACCCCATGCTATTAAAATCTGCGCCCATTTGCCATATTATTATACTGTATGTGTAGTCCTTTTACCCCTAGGGGCTCATTTACCATTATACCACATGTTATGAATAAAATTCCAATAATTAACACTACAAATATGAAAGTATTAAGATGAAACAAGTACCAATTTCAGCTATTCTTGACTATCTCACTTTGATCTTGAATGATAAGGCACCTAAATGAGTTAGGTTGTTGAGTGAAAGATGCAATTTGTCATTTTCCTACTCTACACTTGTAGTATATTCCATTAGTTAGGTGGCAAATAAAATTATTTTCTGCACGAAGTGTGATCACAATCACCTTGAAGTGACATATTGAAAGTATACACACCAATCAATCATCTCACTTTAACAGTGAAATTCTAACTTACTTGAATTGTATCATAAAATGGGAAATATAGGAAAGATAAATAAAATTATGACAATCATTTATAGACAATGTTAAATGGCTTAATTAGATCTTGGCAATTAGTCTGCTCTTGTTTTCATGGAATTTTGATGACAAGATTAATGTGCCTCTTTACCCAGACAGATAGACTTACATAATGCCATTAGCACAGATAACAATATAGCAATCTGAAAAAATGTGATACATGTAATAAAAGCTTCACAAAACTGTATTGAAGATTTTGCCTTTTTGTCTTTTTGTACCATCTGGTTTATCCCAAAATATACAGGTAGAGTAAAGCTTAAAATATCTGCAATTCAGTATCAAATTTCCATTTTTGGTGCAGATTGAATGTTGGATACATAAGGGTTATGTACTGGGAGGTTTTGGATATGGGGTTTATCCAGAGGGAGATATGCATATCTACCTGAGGGATCGAAGGGACCGAAGATAGATGTGCATATCTCACGAGGGATGAACCCAATATCCAAACGGAGCGTACATAACTGCTTTATCCTATACCAAGTAAAGTTTTCTAATTTTCTTTCAATTTTTTTCACATTTTTCTAATTTTTTTCAATTTTTTCTGTGTTTTTTTCTTTTTTTCAATTTTTTCACATTTTTTCTTTTTTTCAATTTTTTCTTATTTTTTTTTCGAAGCGGGAAGATATGCCCTGGAGCGGGAGATATGGCGGGAGATATGGAGGTTCAGGATATGGAAACCTCAAAATCAGGATACGGGATATATCTTTCCAACTTATCTCCCTAAAACTCTACTTGGCATAGGATAAATAGATGATATCCTATGATTTTTGAGGGATATAATTTCATCCATGAGTGAATATAGCCCATTTCCACAAGTGAGCCCAGTGATTGAGTAGAGATGGGCAATATCTATGAGTGGATAAAAATAATAGCCCGAGAAAATCATAGGATATATTATTTATCCTATGGTTGCAGCTAATTGTAATTATCCAAATCCTTTGGAAAAATGGCCATCACATTTAGTTTTTCATCTTGGTTTAGAAATCAATTCGATTCTAGTTTTTTCATTGTGTTCGCGTCCTAAACCGAATAAAGTGATTGCATGAAAACATTTAAATCCTTTTAATGAGCACATAATGTTTGGAACTATATTCTGGAAGTTCAATTAGGCAAGGCTGCTATTTGTGAAACAATTTTCAGCGCTGAATTCAAAACTAATGAAAAAATAGTATCCATCGAATATGATTGGATATCACGTCATTTCAGTCGGATACGATTTTAGTGGCACCAGAATTATCTTGTGTCGTTATCCCCATATATATTTCGTATCCATAGGATAAAATTGTATATTACTTTGTTCATCATGGTTTGTCGGACTCTCACACATAAAATCAATCAAATGGAAATTTTGGTTATTTTTTCCAGGAGGTGACAATCAATGTGATGAATTACGTAAAACTGCCACTAGTATCAAAGGTAGCTGCCAGTACGCTATGACCATTATTGGCAAAACTTGATAATTTTCTGAAGGTTCCAAAGATACAGTTTGAACATTGAGTGGCTTTATCACCATGCTATCATCAAATCAATTTCAACTGGCTTTATATTGAGGTACTATCTCAATACACACTTGAATTCAGTAATGGAAATGATTTCAAACCATGTTTTAACTCCTAGGTTATAACATTCATTCGAGTGACATAATTACATCTCTATTATTTAGTATTCTATAACATGGCTGTTATTTTTGTTAATGGTTTTTTAGGAAATTGATTTTCCAGCAATACCGTCAACTCAATATATTATAAAGATGCTTGGATTTAAGGCATTGGATTATAGAAAATCATAAAGTGACAATAAAATAACCTAGTAACCGAAGATGGTTAAGTCCTAGATACTAACGCCATAGGAACGGAACCTGAATCAACTGTTGTTAAAACAAGAGACAAAATCAATGTGAGATTATTAGTACTAATTTGTATGGAGATCAAGAGAATGCTCAATTTATACATACATGTATGTGTCTTCTTTATCTATATTCTTGTGAATTTAAAATTTGTAAAATTCAATGGATAAGTAATAAGAAATATGTTGAAGGGAAGTTAAAAACGTAAAATCTTAAGATGTGATTTCTTCAAATGCTCAAGAATCGATACATAAAATGAATATCGGTCGTATCAAGATTCTGAAGAGGCCCTCACCCACCTGATGATCTATTTGCACCCACTTGAAAAATCATTTTGCATATTCCATCAAATTTAATTAGAATTCTGAAAAATATTTTGCACCACTTGAGGGAAAAATCTTATGGAGAACACTGCACAGTTTATACCCAAATTTCCCTGGAATAATATATCCAATGAAACCTGTATCAGTGAACAACTTTCTTCAGTGAACTTCTATCAGCAGTGAGCATTTATTCAGCAAAATCCTTTTTCTCCCATTGACTTCAAAGAACATTCCTATTATAACAACCCTTGGGCATGTCTATCCGGGGAGCTGTAGTGTAACAAGCCAGATACTAGACTTGAAAGGGAGTGTGCTACAGCAGGGACTGTAGTAGCAACTTGCTATTGAAGGTCATTACACCATCCCCCCTGAAAGATGACGTCCTGTAACTAATTCACAATGGCACTCTCAGTTCTGACACCACTGTAAGGACCCTTTAGCATGTCTGTCCGGAAAGCTGTAGTGAAACGAGCCAGATAGTGGTCATGAAAGGGAGTGTGCTAAATTCAATGCCCAGTGCGGCAATCGAACCTAGCAACCTCCACTTGCAAGGCCGATGCTCTACCGATTTGGTCAAAGGGGCTAACCCCTATAGCAGAGACTGTAGTAGTGACTAATGCTATCAAAGGTCATTACACTATCGTGAACATCTACCTTCTACAGGTGTATGAACACTAAATCTTGGCAAAATTAATTGAATTATTCTGTGCATAGTAAACATTGAATCGGATATATGATTACCCGCAAATGTTTTATAACTGCCTTTTAAGAAATAAACAGTTTGTTACCAACCAAAAATAATTCAATGGCCACTTACTTTGAGATTTTGATATCCTGTTCTATTGAAACAAGTGTGACTTATTATAATTCATAATAAGCTAAATGTTTTTATAGGACAGGACAATATGTCTAGTCTTGATTGCCTTGTAGATAATCAGATTAACAGCCTCCATCTGCTATGACCCAACTTAAACTTTTTCTGATCCCCATCAAATTTAACAAAACATATAATAAAGTAAGGACGGACCAACGGACGGACGCCTGGTCGATCCCATAGGCTCACTGTGTGAGCCAAAAATAATAGCCCTACATGTATATTGATATTATCATGACATTATAGAAATAGCAAGGCAGTATAGTGTCTCTTATAGATGGAAAACAAACGGACAGACAAAGAGATGGACAAAAAGACATTGAAAAGTGTAAAGTGGGATACATCTGTAATTAATACTTATACACTGTAACGTTATTAAAAAAGACTTACCTTAAGTGGTGATGATTCCAAGGCTGATGGACATGTCAGATAATAAAATCAGCAAGCTCTGTCTTTCAGTCCAGAATATTTTTTTCAGAACAGCACTCCAACTTCGAATGTTGTCTCAAATGTTTTAAGTAGCTCTGCATGTTTTGTCTCCTGGATGTTATCATAATTCTATAGCTACCTGTACATGTAGTCTATAGCCAGTTCTCAGGCCTGTCAACTGTCCCACAATTTGCGTATTTGTCACGCATTTGCTGAAGAATTTGAAGTCACGCCAGTTATTTTTGCGTGACAGAAAATGTCACGCAAATACGCATTTTACCTGGTAATTGTCAAGCCAAAATATTTCTGTAGAAAAATTTCGTCTACACACCAAAAATACGAACGCGGGGAAAAAAATGTACGCATTTCTCGCCCCCCCCCCCCCCCCCCCCCCCCCCCCCCCCCCCCCCGTTGAAGGATGTTTGAAACGCGAGCGTAGCGAGCGCGAAAAATTTGAGGTGTTCAAAATTTGGCAATATGTAATGAAATAGTAAACCAAGGTATTCAAAATTTGGATCAAGGTGTTCAGATTTGGACCAAGGTGTCCACATTTTGAGGGGAGGTGTTCAACATTTCCAAGTCACTCATGTTAGGTGTTCCCAAGTTGACAGGCCTGGTTCTGGATGTAAGTTGTTACCATCATTTTTCATTTAAGTCAGCTCTAGGTGATATTATAACGACCCTGGATAGCAGTAGTGGTTTAGGCCTTTATAGCACAGTTGGTAGAGTATCAGACTTTGGATCTTAGGGTCCTAGGTTCAATTCCCACACAGTTGTTGAATTTATCACTTTCCTTTATGCCTGCCAGTCACAGGACCTGTATCTGAGACGGTTGAGTAAGATTAGAGAAGCATTGGGGTAGGAAGGGGGAGGGCGTTGGGTTTTCTAAAACCATATTTTTCTTGTTTTTATTATTGGGAATGTGCTGAGGCATGCTCAGAATGCACCAGAGAGGGTCTTAATTTTAAAATTTTCTGATCCCTCTTGATTGTGCCGCAAGTGAAGCTTCACGCACGACCTATCCATATACCAAAAGTCACCCCTCCCTTGGCAAATCCTTCTGAAGCCCCTGGATAAGTATGCATCCAGGGAAACAACTGAATAAACAGCTCTGCTTCAAAACACTTGAGAAGCCCTTAAAAAGAAGAATGAGACTTACAAGACAATGCATGTACAACTTACAAGTGTGTCAGAAAAGTTGATTGAACTGCAGTTGTGCAGTTCCCGGGGAATCATAAACCAATCATATCTGATCACTGACTGATTGAATTGAAAATAACGTTATGTTCGCATAATCTCTAGGCCTGACTGGCAAACACACTACATGTATAGCCTAATAGGATGTTTTGCAATAATATAGAACAGGTCTTACAACGGCAAAAAATGAATTGAGAGACAAGCGAAGAGCCCAACTTTTCAAAACACGCACTTACCTTATGCACCGAACGAAATTATGTTCCCGGGGAACAGTAAATATACAATTCTAGATTCTATTACAGTACCTTAAATAAAAAACATATCCAGTGTGATTCATTTTTCTTAATAATTTCCTCTGCTGCTAGATACGTAAAGTCAGAACTGATTTATGGCTAATTCAGCTGTTATATATGATTCATCTTCATCGAGACTAAATTGCACTGCACGAAACAGAAAGCATTTGAAAAGAATGGCGGCATGATTAAAATACCTCTATTACTCAATTTATTGACTACATAGCCTTGGTAACAGCAAAATTAACATATAAATATTAAATATAGAAACGAGGCATTATATCAAAAGACATGGATAGTTGGTTTAAGCCAGAGGTAAGTCGATACATAAGTCCTAGTTTCTAATTATTTGTTTTTCACTTTATTATCGCCCATTTATTTTTAAAAGTGTCAGTGTCTTGGAATTGGAATAGACACTAGTGCTGTCGAGATTAAATGATACATCCAAAAGGGATTTTGCCGATTCATCGATGTCTGATTCAAAATATCGATGTTTTTACAAAAAAATAAATCCGCTAAAATCACCTTTTCCTTACTTCCTGCGAACGCATTTGCTTTGATGCTGGGTCTATGTCAATGTCTATGCCACGATACGAGCGTATCGATACTCACCTTGAATATCGGTTAAAAAATTGTATCGTTTTTAACTCCCCAAAACAGCAAAATCATGCTCCAAAGCAGTTTAAATACGATTGTATCTACCCATTGTCCCGTTTCCATTTTGTTATCCGCCTAGCGTAATCCGGCGTAGAATGTATTTCCGGTTTCCGGTAAAAGTTCAAAGTTCAGCGGTTGACATTTGTCTTGTTAACGTATTTGTTTTTATTAAATAAATTTATTTGTTACGCACTTACATTGCTTGTATCGTTTGTATCGTATCGTGAGGTAAATATCGTTGCTCATATCGAAATTGAAGATACTGTATCGTGGGACCCCTACTGGGGAGATCAGATCACTGTGCGAAATGAATGGATACGCAATGATGAAACCAATTTATGACCTTGCTATCATGGTCATGTGTTGTGGGGGCAGGGCTGCTGGACTGTAATAAAGTCTATACTAGGCAGAGGGTAGTTTATAACTAGACTGCACTCAGGGTAATGGCGCTAAGCTATGCATTTATTTCTTACCTCAATCAATTCTTGAGACCACCAGAAATGTTCTCCCAATGGCAAAAAAGATGCAAAAGATTAATGTCGGATAATTAACTAAATTGTAAAAGTTAATGTGTCAAATAGTTAAGTTCTAGCGACATCAGTTATTGAATTGTCGGGAATCTTCATCATGGTCATTGCATCCAGTACCCCGACATTGCTCAGAAAAGGAAAACACACTGAATTTTTTTCATATAATATCACATAAAACTAATGTTAAAAGAGGAATATGAAATCAATATACAGCGATCCTACAACAGATTATGAAAGTTACGTCTGTAAAAAATATGGAATAGTACATCTTCAGGGTGTCCTAACTGTCCTTTTCATGGCTCTGTGAATATTTATGCATGTATGTATGAAAACAAGATTTAAATAAATAATAAATTGAAATTAGCTATTAAAATTTAGTTAGCTCTCCTGCATTGAACTGTTGCATTGGTCCCTTACTCTCGATTTATTAATGTTGCTTGACTTGATTCTGTATTAATTGAGTGGACTGATTTCCCCAGCTTGTAAGATAATGTTCCCTGGAATGAAGAGATGTAGAAATGTATTCACTGATAGAATGAAATGACCTCTGGTGGACATTTGGAAACACTTGTTGAGTTTGCCATAGGGAGAATGTTTCTGGTGGTGTTTAGAATCGATTGAAGTTTGAAATATATGCTATTATTTTATGACTTGAAATATAATCATTGGCCGCTATTCAACGCTTGCAAGATTATTAACTTGGAACAAGATAATATGTTTGTTTTTTTTTTAAACAATAGGTTTATTTCATTGATATATTTTTCATGGCATAGTACACAATCATGCGGCAAATCGCCTTCTGGCATTTTATGTCCGCTTTCAATTACAATGTTACATATAAATATACGAAAAATTCAAGAAAAATAAAACACACCCACTGTTTAGATGTGGCATGTTATAAATGGAGTGTACTGACGGGGACCTGCTGCAACATAGATGGGGCGACCAATTACACATAGGGGTTGAGTAAGTGGGGTCTAAGGTAGTCAGATTATGTACAACCATGCACAACCATTAACAGTTTTCTAAAAGAAATGTTGCTGTCAACTGAAATAGTTTGTCTAATTTATCATGGGTGAGTTCGGGATCACCAAAGAGATATAAATCAATTTTATCCTGTTAGGTTTTATAACGTGATATATCATCCACAATTAACTCAATGGCTTCATTGAATTGATGGAGTTTATTCATTCTCATGGGGCAGCTAAAAAATAAATGTCTAAAGGTCTCAGGGGACCCACACTCACAGTTTGGGGAGTCAACATTATTCCAGTTGTGAGATATCAATTGGGTCTTCAAAATAAGGTCGACTCTGGCTCTGTTGAGGTACATCTCTTGCCTGCGATTTAGAATATTAAGGGACACAGTAGATATAATCCCAGGGAACATTTCGATTTTTAGTCTCCTTTTAAAGGAGGCCAATGAAGGAAGGGACTTCAGATAAGGCTGATCACGTTGTACATTGTTCCATATCTCGACCATCTTGTATATTGGTGATTTTCTGGGATAATTAATAGGCATGATATAGTCTCTGTTAAAACGCGTATTTCTAATATTGACTCTTTTATAAGGAATGAATATGTCTGTTATATATGATGGAATGAGGGCATTGTCGACTTTATACATAAGACTCTTAAAATGAAAATTTCTACGATCAAGTAAGCAAGACCAATTTAAAATTTTGAATACTTTACAGGCACTTGATCCTGACAGAGCTCCAGACACAATTAGACCAGCTTGGTACTGTAAACTACTAAGCTTTTTTAGGTCAATTTGGTTTGCACCATCATATAGAACATCACAGTAGTCAAAGAGTGACTGGATATAGGCATTATACATGAAATTGAGATGTTTGGACTTCAGTCTTCCTTTCAGAGCTTTCATTGGATTAAGTGCTGTCTGGATCTTAGAGGCTAAATAGTTGATGTGAACTGATCCACATAGCTTATTGTCAAAGTAGTAGCCAAGATGTTTGTGGGTGTCAGTTCTTGTGATTGCGTGGCCATTTAACATAATTGGAGGATAATTATTTGCATTATTATTTTTAGAAAAAATCAACTCTTTGCTTTTTTCTGGCTTAAATTCAAGTTTCCAGATGTCAGACCATTTTTCTACCTTTTGAATATCATTTTGGAGTTGAATATGAGATAGGTTGTCATTTGGGCTTGTTGGCAAAAATATTGACGTGTCATCGGCGTATATGAAGCATTTTGAAGATAAAGTATCAGGCAGGTCATTAATGTATATAAGGAAGAGGAGCGGCCCAAGGATACTTCCTTGAGGGACACTGCAGTTTATATAGTTGTCCGGGGATGTTTGAGATGATTTACCATTTACTGTGACCTTTATTTTTCTATTTGAGAGGTATGAAATAATAAAATTCAAGAGCTTTCCTGAAAAGCCATATGCTTTCAGCTTATGTATTAACAGATGGTGTGGTACCCTATCAAAAGCGGCCGAAATGTCCAAATAAAATCATGAATCGCTAGAAGTTGGATTTCATTGCAATGACCCTTCAAAAATCCGGATTGATATTTGTAAAGTAGATTGTTTTCAATAAGGTGCTTGTACATTTTATCATAGACTATCCTTTCAATGATTTTGGAAACAATGCTAAGGAGAGAGATAGGTCTGTAATTGTTAAGATTATTTTTGCTATCTTTTTTATGTATAGGGCAAACATTCCCAAGTTTCCAAATTTGAGGAAAAGTGTTTGCCTGTAAAAGTTTATTGAATAAAATGTAGAGAGGAAATGAAATTGAATTTGAGCATATTTGGAGCATTTTGATGGTGATTTCATCAGGGCCATTGGCCTTGGAAGGGTCAAGATTATTTATTATGTTAGTAATATCCTGTCTATCAAATGTAATATCACTTAACAGATTATCGCACCTCTGAGGAAATGGAGTGTCAAAGTGGTCAAAATTTTCATTTGAATGATTTTTTTCAACAAAGAAGTTAAGAAAGGCATCAGATTTCTCTTGACTAGAACTGAAGATTATGCCTGACTGTTCCAATGTCGGAATTTGACTATTAAATTTTTTGCCTAAAAGTTTTTTGATAAGTACCCAAAATTTGTCATTGGCATGAGTCTCGCCATTCAATGAGTCAACCTGTTCATTTGTAAAATTTTCCTTGGTAGATATTACTAGATTTTTAACAACTTCAGCTTGGGCCTTATAAGCCATATAGTGTTGCTCTGAGTTGCTTAACTTAAACTTCAAAAATAATTTTTTCTTTTTTTGAATAGCATGAGCAATTATCTCATTATACCAGGGTTTATCGTTGGCTTTTACTTTTTTGAGTTTGCTTGGAATGTGCAATGTAAACAATGCCATCATTTTATTTGTAAACACTTCAGTCAAAATATTTACATCTTCAGACTGATTAAAAAATTCATTCCAGTCAATATTCTCTATGTCTTGATTAAGTGCTTCGGTATTTGCTAAATTATATTTCCATACACGTTTAAGTTCAGACTCCTCTTTATGTAACAATGCATCGAGTTGGGTAAACAGAGTACAGTGATCAGTTGAGCCTATAGGTTCACACACCTTGGAAAAGTTCAAAAGGCCAGGTGAATTGGTAATTGTCAAATCGATACAGCTAGATGATGTTGGAGTAATTCTTGTGGGTTCTTTAACAGTTTGGTCAAATCCATTTTGAAATAGAATATCATTTAGAAGTTTCCCGGTGTAATCTTCATCTCCCTGGAGGAACCAAGATTTGCTTTTTGCATTAAAATCTCCATTTAGAATAATCCCATCGAAATTAATGTTGTTCAATTGTTGGAGTTTTTGATTCATCAAGTTTAAAAATTCATCTCTCTGATTGGCTGATTGCGAAGGGGAACGATAAAAGACCCCGTAAAGAAATTTTTTATGTTTTATTTTTAACTCAACCCATATTGCATCAAGGCCATCAATACTGAGATCAGACCTAGGTGTCTGCAAAATGTTCTCGTGGGTGTAAATCATTAAACCGCGACCATTTGGAGAGTAAAGGGGCGTGTGAAATCCCTTCAGCAAATATTTATCATGTATGATGTTATCTGTTAAAAGACCAGCTTCACATAGTCCTATAACATTAGCATTATTATTTCTACTCCAAATATCAAGGGCTTCAAATCTAGCGCCATTATCAGCCCTGAGGCTATTTATATTTGAGAAAACTATATTTAATTCATCAGGCCCGGGATTACTTTCAACATCATTGGACAAGGTCAAAATGAGATCAGAAATATTGGGTTGACAGAAAAGTATACTGAAACCTGGTATAAGTAGTGACAGGCATGTAGTCAGCAACAGAGCCAGAGTGTACCTTGGATTTAGCTTGTATTTATTTATACTGTAGAGTCTCCATGAAATGGACACTGGAACAAAAATTGGAACAAGCATTGTACTCAAGATTTTACATATAACTAAAATAAATATTATGCATGTTTTGATGTCAAAGAGTTGCCTTAGGTTATATTGAGGATGATACAGTGTAAAGCATATTCCCAGCAAGAGAGTTCTGATTGTTATCAGGAGAATTAAAGTGAGCTTAGAAAATAATAAGTTCCTAAACTGGGGAAAATTCAAATTGAAGTCATTGGTTGTATTTATAGAAGTTACCTTACAAAATCCCACTCTGAACATACCTATCGCAGACCTCCATTGCATAATACTAACCCCCATGTGCAACTACAGCCCCAGGGATGACAGCAGCAGCACTCCACCAGCACACAATCATGGTTCTAACATCAAGCATACGTTGAAATGGAACACGAGAGGATCGCCTCGGAAAAATAAAAGCTTATGAGCTTACAAGATAATATGTAGATGCATTTAATGTTATTTCAGGTGTTCCGTTGGAGAACTGGTGCTAGTATAGCATGGAGCGTCTTACTGTTACCATCCCTTGTGAAGTGTATGCTTGCAATAATTCTCTTCAGCCCTTTACACCCCTATCAGTGGATCCTTGGTAAGATGTTTTCATTGAATTATTAAATTATGTTATGTTTGTACTGTTTAGATAACCAAGCTGTCACATTCCTTATCCTTCCTTTAAAATGTTCCTTGGTGATCATTTTCTTGTTTTTTGGCACCAAAGTAGGAAAGTACTTGGGATTTTATTTCAGTATGAGTCTAAATAAGTATTGTTAAAATTAAAGAGATGTGTGAATATTATTATTTATTTTATTATTTTGGCAGTGACAATCTCTAGCAATGCCTCACAATTTATGCCTTTCTTCATTTCAGACTGGTTTAGTGCAATGTTCTCAATGTCAACATGGCTCTACACAGGAGTCATCATAGCAGTGACAATCTCTGTAGCATCAAGCAATGCCTCAAATTACTCCGGTATGTGACAGTTTATTTCTTTATTTCAGTCTTTAAAATCAGTTTTAAATGTTAGAGTGAACTTAGATTAAGCATCGGCATAAAATGTTGATTAGTGACATGATTTGATATGTATGATGTAGCCAGCGGCAACCTATAATTTTAAGTTAATAATCAAGTCAATTATAAGTGTCTCAATTTTTATGGGTTAAAACAAATTGCATGAAATGTTTAGGCTTACATTGTTGGCAATAGTACCTTGACTCGTGGAGAAATATTCAATATGCCCACCAAATTCAAAATGGCTCCTCTTTCGTGAATATGTAACTTTTGATGTATCAGATACCAGTATTTTGACTGGGATTGTCTCTCAGTCTACCTTCTTTACTGTGTATTGAGTGCAAGAAAATGTGTGCTTCTCATTTCTAATAACCAAATAATCTGGCAGTTGGTCAGAGCTCATTGAACAAGAACCAAATATCTTCAATGTTACAAACAAATACTGGTTGTCAGATTTGATCCTGATTTTGTAACCTTATGCCTTATTTATATGCCTTATATCACCTCCAATTCAAAATGGCCGCCATTTTAATAAAAGTAATTTTAGGGGATAATTAGGATATCATATTTACCAATTGGGTCATATTTCTCAGTTGCTCATTTAAGAAAAAATGAATTGACATATTTTTCAGTGAGACCTGTCATATTGCTGAACAGACTCTCCATCATTGGCAGCCTGTTGAAACCTCAGCGTATTGTCCATTGTTTGGGACATGCCCTAGCTGCAGCTTTAACTATGTGGTGCCTTGTAAATATCATTGGTGGAAGTTATGCTGATCTTACATCAGAGTGCCATGAAGAGAGGTAATTAAGAAAATACAATATACAAATTGTAACAACATTTTTATGAGTCCTTATTGAATGCCCTGTACATATTGATCCTCTACATTGCCACTTCCAAAAGTTAAAAAAGTTATTTTTTTATCATTACATGAAATAGCAATTTATGTTAAGAGTCATTAATGAGATATCTGCTTCTTTTCATCCATTGATTAAATTTTTTAATTTCATCTTTCCAATGATCGCCTGTGAGAGGAAATTACTTGAGAGCCAATTTCATTTTCAGCTGGATTGAGTAATAACAACTTCCAATGGGGCCATATTGATTTAGAATCCGTTAAATTAGCAGGGGTCCCAGTTTAAAAAAGCTTTATTCATTTTATTGTCAAATTACTGCCAATCTGTGGATTATGAGGTGTCCAGTTTTTTCATCCTCCTAAACAGGTATCCAGAATCTGTAGCTCCTTCTTCCCCCGCTATAACCAATTTGGAAGTGCCCGATTAAACTGAATCACGTGATCTAATTATGCGCAATGACTTATACATGATTTCTGTCGCAGTGTTGCAACAGCCAATCAGATTGTGAGTTCTTAATCGGGGAAATGCTAAGTGCTTATCGCAGGGGGTAAAAAGAAAGAATATATTCTGGATTTTGAAGCCCTGTTATCGGAGGATGAGTTTTTAAACCTGACATTTTCATTGGTAGCATTTTATGTTTGAAATATTAGCAGTATACACAGCCATTTGAAAAACTCAGAATCATTGAATGGTACCTTTGACACAGCAGGGTTAAATCGTTGAAGCATTTTGATAAAAAGCTTAGAAACAAATTTTTTGCTTGTGATACATTTGCTCTATTGCGGCCGTAGTTTCACAATTCAAGATAAAAAATCTACATCGAACTGCTCTATTTCATGCTGCATTCTTCCCTTGATTTTGGAAAGCTACGGCCACCATAGTACAGTCCATGTACGATTGCCGTAGATCAAATGTGACTAAGGCATTGTATCAAAAATCCTTCATTATGAAATGTTTTTGTTCCACCTGCTGTGTAACTTTAACCATCAGACAGGGATCTCCAGCATTTCAGCAATGGATACCACACCCACTTTAAATGAAAACAAAAAATCACAAAGAAATGTATTTTTTGACAAACTTTTTGACAAACATTAAAGCTATCTTAATTGAACTGGAAATAGGGACTAACTAGTCTTAGGTACTAAATTGAATTGCATGTAATTAAATGTTATTTTGATTCTAAAGCCTCAGTCTTACTATGTTAAAATAATAGAGTCATAAACTCTAAAATACATTCCAGTGAGAAAGTTGGTGTATGTTTGAATGAGCGCCACCTGGTGTTGGTCCTGCATGGATTGTTTCTGGGTGCCATCTATTCCACACAGTATTACCTACATAATCTCAACTATCTCACCTTTCCTACTGTGCAGGTAAGAACTTTTTTTCTTTTATTCAGTGAATATATGAATTCAACTATAATTATGATTCTGGATTTTTGACTAAAAAGTTCTCTCCACCAACTAGAGTAACTTTTCAATTGAAGTAAACTCTTTTAGCCATTGATAAGCATTTCTTTAATTAGCGCCCTGAGTACTAAATTACTCAGAGGTTGAAAATGTTTGTCTTGGACATGCTTAACTATTGTTTGCTTTGAATTCATTGTTTTATCTAGTGTTAGTACAATGTTTATGCATAAAGATATCATGTTCATGTCTTTCTTCATGTTTTTCTTCAGCAAACGAAGTATTTTCGTGTGAGATGTAGCTTATTCCCCATGCTCGTAAACTCTGGACGCTCTGTGCTACGCCAACTGCCAATATTTTATCTAGTTTATTATATATTTGGTAAGTCTTGTTTACGTTCTCTTCTGTCTAAAAGATCGTTTTATTTATTTTGAGGACTTGGTGTTTAACAAATTTTCATATGCCGAAATTGCTAAAAAAATGAGCATTTTCAGATGCTTTAAGAATCACCAGGATTCTATCTTCCTATCTTCAGTTTTGCATTAAGCCCATGTGACCCCCCCCCCCCCCCAAGGGGAAGGGAACTAGGTAATGATGGACCAGAGACTTGCAAGATGAATCTGTGAATGTGAACACTTTTTTTCTTTGAATGTAAACACTTTTTCTTAGTCCCAATTTTGTAATCTCTCATTGATTTTCATATTACAAAACCTTGAAATGTAAACACCTGTTAATCAAAATACTTTTTCCAGGTCCAAGAGCGTTCCATTTTAGACAGGTTTTATACTGCAGTTTAACATGCCCATGTATGTTTCATTCCAATATATTATACATATATTTAGGTTGCATACCAAAGGGGTGGATAGTAACTAACCTTGGACTCAAAACAAAGTAAGATTTATTAATTAATAAATTAATTAAGTAATTTTGTATTATATAAGCTTTTCCAATGCAATTAGCACAATTTCAACTGCAATACCATAAACAATTTAAAAGCCTGCATTGTTGTTTCTGTACTAATATGTCACTACCACAAGTGGTGACATATTGTTATAGTCTTCAACTTTTTATCGCACTTTGAAAAAGTGCTATATTGTCGTCGTCTTGTGCTGTTGGGCGGGCGTTTGGGCGTGCGGGCGGGCGGGACATAAACTAAATCTTGTCATCAAATTTCCAGGATAACTGCTTACCTGTTCAACTTGAAATTTTTACAGATGCAAGAGCAGACTAGTACCAAGATCTGATTAGGTTAAGGGCATGCTGGGTAAACTATGTGGCGGCCATTTTGAATTTTTCAACAAATCTTGTCATCAAAATTCCAGGAAAACCACTTATCCGTTCAACTTGAAATTTTTACAGATGCAAGAGCAGACTATTGCCAAGATCTGATTAGGTTTTGGGTATGCTGGCTGAATTACATGGTGGCCATTTTGAATTTTTGAATTTGGCGGCCATTTTGAATTTTTCAACTTGCTCCAAATTGACCAAATTTTTTTTTTAAAAACATCTACAAGTTCTCAAAAGTTCAAATCTGACCTTAGATTTCAGATTTGACCTTTCATTCAACTTCAGTGACCTTGAAAAGGTCAAAAAAGTTGATTTTCTAAATTGATATTTTGGATTTATATTTAGGTCAGCTTAATTACAAAACACCTACTGAGGTCTGAAAAAGTGAAATTTTAAAGGTCGAAAGTCAAGGTCATTAAACTAGGTCACAAATGATGTTATCCAAGTTTCTCAAAGTTTGAGACTACAAATCAATTCTTGTCATCAAAATTCCAAGAAAACCGCTAACCTGTTCAACTTGAATTTTTTACACATGCAATAGCAGACTAGTGCCAAGATCTGATTAGGTTAAGGGCATGCTGGGTAAACTACGTGGTGGCCATTTTGAATTTTTCAACAAATCTTGTCATCAAAATTCCAGGAAAACCACTTATCCGTTCAACTTGAAATTTTTACAGATGCAAGAACAGACTATTGCCAAGATCTGATTAGGTTTTGGGTATGCTGGCTGAATTACATGGTGGCCATTTTGAATTTTTCAATTTGGCGGCCATTTTGAATTTTTCAACTTGCTCCAAATTGACCAAATTTTTTTTTTAAAAACATCTACAAGTTCTCAAAAGTTCAAATCTGACCTTAGATTTCAGATTTGACCTTTCGTTGACCTTCAGTGGCCTTGAAAAGGTCAAAAATTTGATTTTCTAAATTGATATTTTGGATTTAAATTTAGGTCAGCTTATTACAAAAGACCTACTGAGGTCTGAAAAAGTGAAATTTTCAAGGTCGAAGGTCATCAAATTAGGTCACAAACAATGTTATCTAAATTTTCCCAAAGTTCAAGACTACAAATAAATTCTTGTCATCAAAATTGCAGGAAAACCGCTAACCTTGTCAACTTGAAATGTTTACAGATGGAAGAGCAGACTAGTGCCAAGGTCTGATTAGGTTTTGGCCATGCTGGGTAAATTGCATGGTGGCCAGTTTGCTCTTCAAAGTGCGATATTTATCACTGTGTGTCTTGTTGTATTTGGCAGTTTGTGTTCGGTGGTCAAGATCTGTTACAAATGGCAGGTGGTGACATTTTGCATGTTAATGCCTTGTTTGTTATTTGCAGTGATGTTGTTTCTGTATGTAGCCTTATATGCTTTCTTCATTGCAGTGATGTGGCTGTTGATTCAATATGGGGGCTACTGGATATCTCTCTATGCCTACATCTGGCAATCACTGGTCTCTTTCTTCACTTCACTTGGACGCTGTCTGTGCTTCTGTTCAAGGTTTATAATACAGAGGTATGGAATACATCGTGGATACACTTCTTGAGTAATAGATGACTTGAAACAGAAGATTATCAATTTAAAGCATAGTCAAATATAATATTAGAATTTGAAATCTGCAAATTTCATTCCGATCCAATTCTTTGCAAATATGAAAAATGGAAGCCCCTGGTTTCAAATATACTTTCAGTTTTGGAGTCTGACCTCTGTGTGTCCTTGAATGGTCAAAAGCTAAAATCTGTGAATCAGTTAATATATGACAAATAATAAATGTACATATACAGGGTGTTTCATAATGACCGTCCCCCCATCAACCACCAATCCCAAAGAGCACATCAGCATATGATATTATATTATATGAAAGCTTGTTCAATTCTGGACTAATTAAAACAACTTTGAATAAGCTCAACAGTCTTTACAACTTGCTACATACCTCTACAAAAGATACCCATTTTACCTTAAGCATATAGAATCTGATAGCTTCTTTTTTCCAAAATTAGCCATGTGCCCTGCAAACAGCTATGATAACCATGCCTCAATACACTATTATCTATAGTAATGTACAACTTATAACATTTGATGGATGCTCAGGATATATCCCAATGATATTTGAAAGACAAAAGTATTAAATATTTCAAATAAATACCCAGAGAGCTCTTAGTGATTCAATGGATTATATAGCAATATGCTCCTCTCTTTAAATCCATTAAAAATGGTAGCCACAAATCACACAAACTGAGGGTATATTGACCATCAAACTTAAGTTTACAAGTTATGTTCTCATTGACCAGTCATACTAAAATTTGGCACATAAGTCCAGAATTGAATAATCTTTATCATGGTATATAAATTATGGGGCCACGTGATCTAGGATTGGTTGTGGATGGGGGGACGGTCATTATGAAACACCCTGTATATTCCCAAGATGGAGTGATTGAATGATGCACTTTTATAGAATCCTCCCTTCAAAAAACCCTTAAATGAAGAATATTAAAAAGGAGTTCTGGATTTATCTAATTTTTCAGCCTTATGTGTTCCCCATAGAAAGTTCATTTGAGTTGGACAAGCAGAGATGTCTTCATAATGCCCTTGAGGCATGGGCAACTCCACTTATACAGGTAGGTAACTCTCTTTGATGCAATGTCATCATGACTAGATAGAAATTAACAACCAGAATAAATTCAAATAATTGTTCAGTAAAACATACATATTGCCTTTAATTTGTAAACATTTCAACATGACTCATTTATAAATATGGAAATTAGAGCATTTGTGTTACAGGTAGTATTTATAGAATTCAGTTCACTGAATTAGTTTTCATCTGACATGTTTTCACAGGGTCTTTGTAAACTGCAACTAGACTCCTTAGGTCAATGCAACCAACTCCTATTGTTGCTACAAATAGTTTGCTACATTGTGTTCAATTTTAACCAATGAGACCCAACTCGACTTCGTCTTGTTCCAAAACAGAATTTCTCTAGCAGAATATATCCTGTATTGCACTTCAAATCATTCAATAACTTATTGTCTATCTACTAAATATATATCCTTTATTGCAGTATTTAGGTTTCTTAGATCTGAGTCTTCTTGCCAAGTATTCTGCTAAACGGAGAAAGGAAATTCTCAGCTTGAGTCAACCAGGTGAGAGGATACACGTTTTTTAAGAGGAAACTTGTACAGGAGCAGTTCTGTAGCCAGAATTTTTCAAGGGGGGTTCACTTTTCCCAAAAATTCTAGGGGGGTTCACTTTGGCATATTTGGCCAAAAATTACTCAAAAAATGGTCAGAATGGTGAAAAACTGCATGATTTTGAAAGAAATTTTGGAAGAAACCCCCCGAACTCCCCCCCCCCTGGCTACGGGCCTGCCTCCTTGCATAATATTGTGGGATTATTGGATACAGAGATAACTAGTACTGTCCTCCTCTCAATTGGCTTCCAGGGACCTACAAAAATGGCTTGCTATCAAATCATAAGTTACAGTGGTTTCAAGAATGGAACCATACATTGGAAGCCCTTTTCTCTCCCCCATCTTTATTGAGAGGCAGATTGGGTATATTGAATAGATATAAGATATATGTTACATGTTAGTTATAAGTTACATTGATTCTTGAAATTCTTGAAATTCCTTTATTAGCTTAGAACTACCATGACATCTTTCAAACAAAGAACTAATTTATATGGTATAAAACATGGTCTAGCATGACATTTGTATGGCTTGTTAGCCATTATGTCTTTCAAAGATAGAATCAGCATATGTACTGAATTCAAGGTAAAAGTTTGTTTCTCTTAAAACAATTCTATGTTTAATGCTGTACATATGATATTAGGAGGCCACCCTCACAACTGGAACTACATCTGCACAGAGTGCCTCCACACACTAGATGCTCTGACAAATGCACTCCTAGTGGCCAACAACAACATGATCTCAAGTGCAGGTTACAGACAGCTCAGTGGTGATCAGGTGCCTTTGCAAGAACCAACATCAGCAAGTAAGCTTTCAGTCTTTCATAGTATCATATATGTTTCAGGATTTTGTATATTTGTTCTTTCAAGATCATCAAAAGAAAATTCACAATGAGACGAGTTGATATAAGGGGATCTACTACTTATATTTATTAGTTTCAAGTGATATATGATATCCTCTGACTTTGAGAGATATCATTTTTAACCATGAGTTGATATCAATATCTGGACGAGATAAGATTAATAGTTAATAGTTATCCTTTTAATTTTGTCAACTTTTATTCAATTTATACAATGTAAGTTTTAGAATGTATGCAATCATGGATAATGTGAATAAGTGATTTCTGTCACCTATCTCCATATTATGTATTGCATTCTGGCCTGACTAAAATCACTACTACCATCTATTTGTCAGTCTCTATAGCCTCTATTGGTCAATATCCTGATTTCCAAGAAGTTTAAGGGCTAGATCTATGTATATTTAAGCATTGTTGTACACTTGTTATATCCTCTATATCTGTTTTCCTAGGTGTATCAAGTGTTGGGCAGACCACATATTACAACACAACATACAATACTAGCCTCAATGATAGCTATGGTGGAAATTCCACGCTACCTGGGTATGATGCCAATCTCTCCACAAAAAAATCTGATTTGACTTATAGAGGGCGCTCCAATGGTACACTACCAGCCCAACAAAGTATGTATCTTTATGAAGAATGTTTATTAAGTGGAGCAATTCTGTTGAAATTATATACAGGGTGGTCCAAAAAAGTGAACACTTGCAACAAGCTATATCTCAGTAAGGATTCCATGTGAATAAACATGGAAAAACTTTCCCATTTCCAAGTCGATCAACGTGCCTGAAATTTTAGAAAATTGTCTGAAACAATAATGGCGGTCATAAAAAGTACCATGACACCTTAAATTGGTTTTAGTACAACTTTAAGTTAACAACCATCACTCAGAATAACAATAACGCATGATTTAGTTTTAACTTGTTTCAGTGGCTCAAAACCTTAAATGGGACCATGATCTTTGAAAAGATTTACATGGAGCATACACGTTGAAGGTTATTTTGACCCTTGTAGATCACATACATATAGAATGATAACACAGAGAAGGTTGATTTAGATTGATTTGATTTTATTTCTTAGCCTAATTTGATAAGCTACAAGTGTTTTACAGATGTTTGGTGTTGAAAGTAATGAAGAACAATTCAAAGCACAAATATGTAATTTATTTACGAGTATTTACATGTTTTACTAATGTTCAACCCAGTCAATCGGTTATTTTACTTAAATCCTAGAGAACTTGCTGAACTTGTTAAATATGATATCCATGACATAAAAAAATATATCTGAATATATTATGGTTAAATATATTGATTAATTAGGTTTCACAAAAAATCTGGGCAGGTACCCATTGTTCAGTTGTTGAAATTGAATAAATATTTTTAAAATGCATTCAAACCACCAAAATGTTATTTACTTGTACCGTATTCTCTGTAATTAATGCCCAGGGTGCATAGCAAAATCAAAATACCTCCTTCCGACCATTCTGTGCCCATATATGAAGGAAGTAAAGAATTCCTGTGAATTTCATTTATGGCAATTTTACAAGATTGACTCATTTGCTGCATCAAAACGAAGTAGCAGCATATTTTTACAATGATGATATGTATTGTTATTGGAGAGATTACGGTAAAGATTGCTAAAATAAAGCAAGGATCTTTGCAAGAATCTAACTTGACAATATTGACAGTGATTGAAGAAATCCCCAACAGAGGCTCTCGAATTGAAAGAATTGTTTTCCCCAATTATCTTCAATATTTCCCCTTTAGACAGTAGGATAATGATCCTAAGTTATACCTTAACTTTTTAATTTTTAATTTAATTATAGATCATCTTTTTTGTTTAAAAGTTGGTACAAAATTCTTGAACATTTCCTTTATTCATTATGAACTATTTTGAGATAAGTATTTTAACTCTCTGATAATGATCATTTACAAATAGGTTTACTCCAATGAAGCAATTATTTGGCTAATCTGACGAAAATGGATGAACTTATGAGGTGCTGTCCTAACAGCACTAATAATAAAGAGAATCTTTAATATTTACATGAATCCTCAGTGAAATCTAGGAAATCATGAATGTTAAGAGTGACACAAGAAGCAATAGCAAGCTCCCTTGAATTAAGGATCCACCATCCCTTGGTTGGTCCGTAGGCTTCAACACACATGGGGAGTGCCCCACATACTGAATATCCCCAGATACTGAGACACGATAGTAGAATGTCAACATTCCTGGGCCAGGGTTTTCAAAGTTTGTAGTTTTCCCAGTCACAGTAGCTCGAGCTTCCATCGTTATTTCCTTTGTGGAATTCAGTAGCACCTGCTTGTTTTCTATATTATTCACACTAAAAAACATACAAAGAAAACCTCCATTAGAATAACAATAATCTAATAATTTGAAAATAAAAATATTTGCCATTTTACACAAAATAGTCAAGAAGGAATAGAATAAGTTTAGAAAATTTGAAAAAATTCAAATGAATTCATTTAGCCCCTATGGAGCTTACATTACCAAAACCTGTTCTCAGGAACACAAAGGTACTCAAATGATCTTATTGGACAGCACGGTGTAGAGAAATGGTCATTTTACTCAGTTGCTTGTCTCATTAAGATTGAAAAAGGTTGTACGCCACCTTAAATTGTCTCTTTTAAAATGGTCCAAACTTGTAAATAGTCTTTCTAATATAATTGTCTATAGAATAGATTATAGATATTGGAATATAGTTCAAAATAAAGATGAATCTCTGAATTCAAAATATCCAAATTTTCACGTAAAATAGATAAAAGATGTTAAAAGATGCAAAACCGTAACCATAAGCAATATATAATTGTTCAGAAGACAAATATATTTCATTCTTTTGGTGTGAATACCTGTTTGTTTACCAGGTATAGAGATTTATTCAAGCTAACAGAAAACATTAGTTCCATTAAAGTTTCTCATTTAGTATCGATGGTGTAAATTTCCATTTCTTTATGCAATGTTCAAAAAACAGCTGAAAATTGTTTCCACATGGAAACCCAAATAAAAATCATATTTATTCCCAAATCCTGGCTATTGAAGAGATACATATAAAAACCATATCGTGGCTCCAAACGAAAAAAAGGGAGTTCGGTAGATTCAGAGTTTATTGGAATCGTCTTTCTGAAGATAAAACCATCCATTGAAAATCTGTAAATCTGTAGATATTGGGAGGTTGAGAGGGTGAATTATCCAAATATCATCATTTATTGATAGGTAAATCAAGATATTGATTTTCCCAATTAAACACATCAAAATAAAAATCTCCCTTATAAATGAGTGACCATCAATACTACACTATTGCAGCATAAGAAGGCAGACATTTTTGCAAACTGATCTCAATCTGTGTATCTTTGAATGTTTTTCCTGGATGGCCCCATTTCTTTGGACTATGCTTCTGAAGCAGCAGCACACCAATTGGCATGCATACACTTTATATTAACTGTTGAGCAACACAAGGAATGGGCATTCAACTTGCTAAACGTTATGTATTACCCTTTAAGAGCTTACATACTTGTGTATGTAATTTAATAGCTAAACATATTTCTTTCGATTTGGTCTAGACGGTTTATTAAATAAAAATAATTTATCTTCAAGCAGTCCTTACTTTTCATGTATAACCACCCTGATTTCACGATTAAGGTTATTTGTTAAACTGTAGCTGAATGATCCTTTGGTCCCTCCTTCTGGACAATCTTGAATGATCTCTAAGCTTCCATTTATCTCTGTGAATATCAACACTGTTGTCAGGGCAACAAGGCAAAGTTTAGTTACACCAATCATCTTATGTGCTCTAAAATATTAAAAATCCAATTTTGGTAAATTGTAATCCTGTTTACCAGATTTTCATTTTTTAGTTCTAAATGCTTTCAAAATTGTCTGAATTTTTTTCAATTGCTCATGATAACTTATATTTAGTTTAAGGATATTAATGAAAATCATAATTCTTACCTTGATATTGTTAGCTTGTTTTGAAGTTGTCTAGATGTATGATTCCTTGGAAGTTTGAAGTTTTATAGCTTGAAGTGACTCTTTGCAGTAGTTGCCAGCCAATAACGCCCAATAACATTGGTTGGATGTTACTGCTATTAAAATACCAGCATGTTCATTGTTTGGATTTATCTTCTCTCTGAACAGGGATCGAAAAATATAACGTTCATCAGAAATAACTTATTTTCTGACTGTCTGTGCTCTGTCTGTGTTTTCAATTTTTAATAATAGGGCTATTTATCAATTCAGTAATATCTTGTAACTCATTCGTACCGCAACAGTAAAAGTTAAGATACAGTATATTCTCTTAAAAATGTTTTATCAGATTATATTTTGTTTTCTTGATTGAAATAAATACTGGGTTTTCTTCCCTTCAAATGTATTAATAAAAATAATATTTTCATCAAACAGTTTAAATTGATTTCATATTAGGCCTCAACATTTATTTGATACTGTGGTTGACCGATCAAAATTAAGGGTTGGTATTAAAGTTATCCATAATTACATTTTTCACAAAAAAATGGTGACTAAAAAGAATTCAACTACCATTTTGAAATTATTGTGGTCATTCAAACATCAGCATATTTTTAACCAAATCCATCAATTGGACTTCTAGTTATCAAAGATTACATTTTTCATGAAACATGTCTGCCATTACCTATGACATTAGCTTCTTAAATGGACCAAATCCAATAAATGGTATTAAACTTAGTCAAAAACTATATTTTTCTGGAAAATATGGCCATTTTGAAAATACTTTCTTTAGCAAAGGTCCTATTGTCCTAAGGCATTGGGATATACAATTAGAATCAAATATGTCAGCTTTGGAAATATGGTGGCCATTTTAGTTTAAGCCGCCATATTGAACAGAGGTCAAATGCCTATCATCTGGACATACAAACAGACAGATGAATGGACAGATGGGCCTATTTCCCTCAGGAATTATGTTTGGTGGGATAATTATTGGTCTAAGTTTGATAACATGGAAACTAAATATTTACTTCTATCTCCTCTATTTGCTGTTTTTGTCTAAATCATGTTGTTTCATTTGTTTTCAGATATATTCCCTGCTGTTAAGAAGCAATCAGGAGTGCTGCAAAAGGTAATGAATAACATATACATGCATATGTGGATAAAAATCAGATCACTCATAAATCATACCCCCATTCATAGGATATCATCAATTACCATTACCGTATTCTCTGTAATTACCGCCCACTCTCTAATAAGCGCCCACCCCGCTTCACAAAGTTCAAGAAACATCGAGGAATCATAATAATCCATAATGAATGAAGGAATTGTTCTTTATCAGCATTCAGAAATTTCAAAAGCTACTGCGCAGATGTTCTGCGCATGTCAAGGTCGTGAACTTTCTGGTTTCTTTTTAATGTTTCTCGACTTTTACACGACTTTTGCACGAATAATGATGATCTCTCATCAAATTAGAAATAATGTATAACTTTAGATCGATATCCAGCAGTCTCTAGTGGAAATATTGAAGGTAATCGGCGATAATGACAAAGTGGGCGTGCCGGAAATAAATAAGACATAGACGGGTCTTCAACCACTGTCAATATTGTCTAAGCGATCTTTACCGTATTCTCTCCAATAACAGCACTTGTCATATTATTATAAAAATATGTTGAAGAAAATGCTTTCTTGTCAAGAAAAATTGCCATACATGAAATTCCTCGGGATTTCTGATTTCTTTCATACATGGGCGCTTATTAGAATGGTCTAAATAATGTATTTTCAATTTTCTAAACGCCCTGGGCGCTAATTACAGAGAATACAGTATATAAAGAATCATAACCCTCCTTTCTACTGTGATTAATTTGTGAACTAATTGAGGTAACTACAACCCAACCCCACCTCATACACTCCAATCCAAATTGGTTAAAAAAATTGAGAACATGATTTGGTAACGAAAAACCATATGGATAAATTGGCTTGCAGTTTACTCATAAATAAGTCAAACAAACAAATACATGTTGAATTGCACCAACTTATAGTTGGCTTTGTGTATGTATAACTGCCATCTTTTATTTATCATTATTTTCGGTGTTCATGAACACAAATATGGTTGGGACTAGAGAGTCTACTATAGATATAAAAATATTGTGGAGACTGAGGAGTCTACTATAGAGATTCTGCATAATTATATCAATGAATATTCTGTTGTTTTAGTTCTTAGAGCAACAAAAGAAGAGACCAGCTGTAGCTTACTTATTAGACTCACTCCCTGATAACCACAGCAGACAGTTGTTCCAAGATGCACAGCTGCAAATATGGGCCTTGCAAGGTATAGATCCAACAAAAAGTTCTAAAAAGCAAGCCCAATGTCCTGTCTGTTTAGGAACCCCTATTCTTACAATCGAAAATGGATTCTAGCAATATTATACCACACAAATCTACTTGTTGAGACTCGATCAACTTGAGTTTTTCTGAGAAAATGAGGATTTCTCTATCACAACTTGATTAACAAATTTTTTCTTGATTTGCCTTCATGAGGTGTCAGAACCTTCAAAATCTGAAGTCATGAATTCTATACCCGATCACCTGTGATCCTCGAATCAGTTATGTCAACAATTAATCATAATCACCACTACATTTGCGAACTTATTTAAGTTGAAATTTACAGTACTGGTACAAATGGCGTTGTCAATTACTGTCCAAAATATATAATAATAATTTAGAATAAGCTCAGAACTCTAACTTCCATCTTCCTATTCAAGAAAATTAAGGAAAATTAAGGAAATTAATATTGTATGGTGTTATTGTACATATATATTGTATAAGGTATTGTAATGGCACCTTTGTAAAAACATGTCTTATGTTGCAGCTCTTTCACACTTGGTGGAAGCGTCATATACAGAAGACACTTATGGAGTGGTTCAGAAATCTCTCCCAGACATTATCGCTGCAATACTCACTCTGCAAGAGGTCAGTATCACTCTTTTCCACTCATTGTCATATCCTTGAATTTTGAATAAATATTATCCATATATCCATTCAGATAAATATTCCTGGATGATTAAAGGAAGAATCAGATCAATAGTAGCGGAGACAGATATTTCGCAAGCAACATGTACAATTGAACTACCAATATATTCTCAAATATGATATCTCCCAATACAAAAGATCCGTGATATGTTTTCAATAAAAAGTGAATTTGTTTAAGATACAAAGTGAAAAAATGTTCAAATTCTCTCAAATAATAAAATGTGGTGACAACACTGAAAAATGAATACAATACATAATAATTTTTCATTAAATAAAGTATGCTTTTGTCTGGGTATTTTAGAAAACAGACATGGCAAGGAACTGTATGAGCCAAAAATATTCTAAGATTTAAATGATTTTAATTCATGTTGTTTTCGAGATTTGATATACTATCTTAAATATTGAATTAAGCTGATTGGCTGATGATAAATTATTTCTAGGCTGTTGAGAAGCACTTCAAGCTGAACAGTCGTGTAAACCGCCGAGGACAAGGCAAAGGAAGTGATGTCATAGATATAGGTCTGCGTCTTGCACTGAAATCTGAGCTCAAAACTGCCATCTATAGAATAATAAATACATTCGGAACGAGTATCAGGTATTTTATGAGAAACTTCATCCTTCCATAATAATATATTATATAGCATAATATTCCCCCATCCTGCCACTTTTATTGTTACAATATCATTGAGATAAACTGTTAAAGGACCATGAATCTATTAATCCATCTGATTCTCTGTCCATTCCTTCAATTTCAGTATGTTGTATTTTTGCTATAAGAAATAATTTGAAACTTCACGTGATCTTTCTATTATTTACTTCTTTGTTCTGATAAATGTGCTATTTTATTGCATTATATTACAAAGAATATATAAAAGTTATAAATCCAATGTATATAATTTCAGTAATGTGCCCCTCTCCAAGGATCATTCTAAAAGATTGGCGTTATTCTTGGAGTACAAAGAGTGACATGTCTTCTGGGAGATACAAAAATTTGACAGTGTTTGGTCTTGTTCAAGCCCTGTGACCCGTCCTCTACACATATAACCTTTAAGAACAGGATGTGAGGAAGGGAAGGTCCAGAGGCTTGAAATAAGACTAACCCATGATCCAAAAGATACAAAGATTTACCACACCAATGTTCTGAGGGATATTTATATACACTGGGAGTTCAATCTGTAGTGTTTTAGGGAGTGACATTCAATAAATGAGATGGACACATAAGACTGATGAACACAATAGGATTAAATGGACAAACACTGCACATGAAGAAATTGACAATTTACCAATTCATTTATAATCTCTCACTAATAAAAAGATGTATATTTAATGTACATCTTGTGCTGTACAGTGTGCAGCACTTCAAAGACTTCTTCACTGTATAACTAAAGCTGTTTATTGCCAAATCATCAATTAAAGTGGAGCTTCACTGGAATATCTCAAACAAGAAGCAAACAAAAAGAAACATTATTTTATAAATATTTTGTAGAAATATTATAAAGATCATGAGCAAAATTAATAAAAAAAAACATATACATGTTAACAATCGATCTGTAAATTGTGTGTCAGAAAACTGTGTCAAGTTATTTATCCCACCAAATTAGATATCTATTTGTTTGATTATGAGTCTATACAGATGATAAATCAAATACTGTATTCCATAGGTTTTGGTTGAAATGTATAGGCTGATGCCTTAATTGGCTAAATTGCTTCATTAGCTTCAGATGGAATATTCAGTCCACCAAATCCACCAAGACATGTGACATTTTATTATAGCCTCTAACTTTTTGTGGATGGTGTTTAATGTTTATTCTATGTAAAGATGATATAAAAAACACATGTTTTGGATTAACCAGTTGAAAAAAATCAATATTTCATAGACAGTATAAGGTCCGGTGTAAAAGGGTATGAGGTCCTATCAAATTATGGTCCTACTTTCCATTGATTTATATGGTGACCTAAATACAACGCTTCCCCTTATTATCGTATCCACAATCAGGGTCAGTAAGGGCCTTTAAGAAGGGGGACCATAATCCCCAGGGGACCATAATTTCTTTTACACCGGCACTTAGTTAAGTTCCTCCATATAAAACCTGACATTAAATAAAGAACCATTTTTCAATTAATACTTTAATCTTTGTTTCTGTTGACCTGTTAGCATCTCCCTGTGGCCCACTGATGGTACCTGAAAGTGCAGTTCCAATCAAAGGCAGTCTCGTTGGCAGCACTTGTGGTTCAAAGGTTCAACTTTTTAATTTGTCTGAGTGGAGAATAAACCAGATGCGAGTAAGTAGTTACCAGTTTCACCACCAGGTGGCTAATTCGGGTCAGATAACATGGCTGCTATAATAGAAAATTCCCATAAACTTGCTTATTCATCAGTTTTAGTGGTTCAATTTTCATATTACCCTTTATGTATCTGAAGTTATAGAAATTAAAATGTGTCCAGTAAAAGACAATATAATCTGTTCAATATAAGAAAAGATAGGCACCGTTAGATTTTACAAGTTAAAGCTTGGGCTATACATGTGTGTTTTATTGTTGTACACTTGTTATATCCTCTATATCTGTTTTCCTAGATGTATCAAGTGTTGGTCAGACCACATATTACAACACAACATACAATACTAGCCTCAATGATAGCTATGGTGGAAATTCCACGCAACCTGGGTATGATGCCAGTAGCTCCACAAAAACATCTGATGTGACTTACAGAGGGTGCTTCAATGGCATGTTACAGGTCCAACAAAGTATGTATCTTTATTTAGATTTTTATTTAGATGCTTGCAGATCTAAACATTTTTCAAAATTTATTGAAGCAGTTGATAACACCTCAGTCTAAATACTCAATTTTAATGGGTTTGACTTGCTGTAAACTGAATGACTGTAGTAAACCGAGAAACTACAGAGACAAAAGGTCGAGGTCAACAGTAGTTTCAAGGTTTACTGTTGATGTATATGATTTTATCGGTTAGCCAAATGGAAAGTTCTACAATTGTTTTGTTAGTCAGAAGAAACTAATAGATATGGCTATCCCATGAGGAAAGATAGTTACATGTTGGTGCAATTCGACAATCATATTACTAAATACTGCATACTCATCAAGTATGGTTAATGTTAATTTGATATTTTTCTTTGTATTTTTGCTGTCCTTTTAAGTGTCTAGTAAAGACAAAATATCACATTCATCAACATTGACAAAACATCTGTCTGCTTTTTATAATTCTGCAAAAGTGATGATGTCATATATCCCATAATTCACAAGTGTAGTACAGTAACAATCCCACAATTCATAGTCACAAACTGCATACTGTATACTGGTAAAGCAAAGAGCGGTCAATAAAAGCATATCTCATGATGCAGTGGAGTACAGGCAAAATTGTTGACTGCTAATTGACCAATCATGTGAGAGTATTTACACTAAGGTACAAACAATATTGACTGTAAACTGTTGCAGAATCCTGTGAACTACTGGTAATTACACTATTGTTGACTTCTGTTTGTACATTATTGATGGTATTTTAGCTAATTCTAATTTTAGCTAAGAGAATGTGTGATCCCATGCATGGTTCCTACGGGTATTGTTTTGGGATCACAGGCCCAGGAACAAGAGATCAATAGTTTCAAATGTTCACCTCCACATACAACTATTGAACTCTTGTTCCTGGGTCTGTGTTTTTGGATGGTCAAGCATATTTAAGCCATTGTGTTCATGAATGCCATCATTGTCGTCGTAATATCAAATATGTGTTGTAACGTTTCTGTTTGAGAGCACATTTTCAAAAAAACAAAGAATTGTTAATTTCTCTCTTCAATGAACTGAAAAATTGATTATCTCAACAATATATAAGGGTTATGTACTGGGAGGTTTTGGATATGGGGTTTATCCAGAGGGAGATATGCATATCTACCTGAGGGAGGAACCCAATATCAAAACCGACCGTACATAACTGCTTTATCCTATACCAAGTAGAGTTTCAGGTGCATATGGCCATTTCAATAGTACAAGGTGTAAAAACAATCAAATCATTCTTATGCAAAGTCATTTTATTGCATTTCCACTACTTACCGGAAGCGGGAAGATATGCACCGAAGTGGGAAGATATGCACCGAAGCGGGAGATATGGCGGGAGATATGGAGGTTCTGGATATGGAAACCTCAAAATCAGGATATGGGATATATCTTACCAACTTATCTCCCTAAAACTCTACTTGGCATAGTATAAACCTTGATATATACCTCTGTTAATCTCTAAGGTCTCAGTCAAAAGTTAGTTTAAGGTTTTCAGTCTGCATACCATTTTATTTTTACAGTTGACCTCAAGACCATTCTACAACTGTATATACATGTAGTTTTCATAAGCTTTGCTGGTATATATTTCTGAACTTATATGTAATATTTGACCTTTTCTGTACTGCAAAGGTATATTTAAATACTCAAATTACACTTTTCTACAGGATTCATGAAATCCCATACAGATACAGACCTTCCATAAGTTCAATATGTTTACATGAACATTTAAGTAACCATACTACAGAAACTTTAATCCTCCAATTGACCTTGGTGTATGAATGTTACATGTATCTCCCATTAGCTCAATATAGCAACTGGTTAACAACCTTCCCTCAATTTCTCAAGAATGACATAATTTATGGTATAAGGTTTAACTTCTTTCAGGAGCTCTGGACTAGTAAATGGGACCATGACCTTTAAAAGGTTCTAAATGGAGCATTCACTTTGAAAGTTATCTTGACCATATCTGTAATTAAAAATAGAGAAGAGAAGATTGATTTAGATTTATTTTATTTCTCAACAGTATTTGATTTGCTGTATGTTCCACTGATGTTTGGTGTTGAAAGTAATGGAGATAATCCAAACCACATTAATGTTATGTATTTACATTTTTCATTTATGCTCTCTGTTTACAAAAGTTTTACCTGAGCACTCGACTCCATGAAGCTATTATTTGGCTAATCTGACAGAACATGATGAACTTGTTGTGACATACAAGGGCCGATCAAAAAGTTTCTTACCGTTGGCTCTCAATTTTATAATAAGACGAGTTGGAAGCTCAAACTTTAACATGAGACAGGATAGTTAGTTTGCTTGAATCTGTACGAGTTTCATATAAATTGGTTCATTGGTAGTGGCACAGAGTCAATTCATATTTTAAATGACGAAGTTAGGTGGAGCGGCGTTATATATAAAATATCTGCCGAGTTGTGGTTCTGGAAATTTACCGACATCCTTTCAAACCTCTCATACGAAGGCCTTAAACATGTGTTTTTGGATCGAGTGGACAGACATAGGGAGTGCATTGCAACTGGGGTTGAATATATATTGAATGAGAATGAATATTAGTAGAAAAACTAATTAAACATGACTAAACTACAGTATGTTGACATATGACACTTATTAGTTTTAGAAATTTCCAAAACTGCAGCTAAGCACAATTTTTTATAAAAAACGCTGCTCCACCTAATTCAATCAATGAAAATATGTGTTGACTCTGTGTCACTACCAATAAACCAATTTAAATGAAACTCAGGCAGTCGCAAGCAAACTTACTACCCTGTATTATGTAGAAGTTTGAGCATCCAACTCCTCTTATTATAAAATCTAGAGCCAACGGTAAGAAACTTTTTGATCGGCCCTTGTACTTAAACAAGTGAGTTGCAGTCTTAACACTCTAATAATAGAGAGAAACTTTAAAAACAACATAACTTCTCAGTGTAATCTAGGAAAACATGAAGGTTAGGAGTGATATGAGTAGCAATAGCAAGCTCCCATGAATTAAAGATCCATCGGATCCAGGTTGTTCAGTAGGCTTCTTTTTTAACACACAGGGGGTATGCTTAGTAAACTGAAGATCACCGGATACTGAGACACGGTAGTAAAATGTCAACATTCCTGGGCCACTGTTTTCAATGTTTGTAGTTCTCCCTGTCTTTGTGCCCCCAGCTTCAATTGTTACTTGATTGGTGTTATTCAGCAGCACCTCCTTGTTTTCTAGAGTATCAACACTGAAACACACACAGAAAACATTCAATAGAATAACTATCATTATAGTTATCTAATTACAGGGTGTGCCAAAATATTTTGCAACTTTTTTAAATGGCTAGAAAAGTATTATGACATTAAGGTATTGACAGAAAAAATTATTTACAGAAACTTAAGGATGGGCATATTTTACCATTCAAATACAATAAGCTAATACTGACTTCAATCTTCTTCGTGAGATCTTTGAATTTCAAAGGTTCATGTGTCCGAGATTTACCATTTTTCCTAGAAAATTTGACTTTCTATTATTTTAAACCATAAATTATTATTGATGATCACATAAAATCATAGAAAATCACATTTGTTTAGGAAAATATTAGACACATGAACAATTTACCATTAATATACAAACATCTGACAAAAATTTGAAATCAGTATTAGCTTAAGTATTTGAATGGTAAAATACTAAAATATGTCTATCCTTAAGTTTCTGTAAAAAAATAATTTAGGTCAATAAATGTCTAGCCTTCTAAAACTTTTTTGGCACACCCTGTACATGTATATGAGTATTTGAACAATTTACGCCGAAATAGTCAAACTTTGGGAGCCATGGGAAGGGGTAAAACAAGGTTAGATAATTTGAAAACAACACACACGTTTGTTTGTTTTTTTGTCCTCTTAATGTGCAAATTGGCAATTAATCTTCGTTCTTGCCCAAATAAAGTTGAAACTGTTTAAATCCTTTCTTTAATGTGTCTCAACCACTAATTATTCCTGAAAAAAAATTTAAATGTAACCTGTAACTTGATAGACTATGTTTAAACCATTTTTGTGAAATTATCACATCTAGAAGAAATTTCTCACCATTCAAGCATGCAGAACGAGGAGGTCAAAACTAAATGAGATGATTGAATTTTGAAATTGCAATGGATTTGTTTTATACCTATAATAGAGACTTATTCATTCAACAGAAGAGGTTTCTTGTATTAAATAGTATATTATATAATATTGATAGTGAAGTTTCTGTTTCTTATAGCATGCTTTCTCTAATGACTGAGAGCATCTAAAATGGAAAATGCCACCCCTCGCCTTCTATTTCCACCACTCAGCCTACAGCTTTCCCATTGATTTGATAGCTAAACATATTTTTTCTATTTGCTTCATATGGTTTAAATGGAAATACAGTCCTTACCTTTCTTTTATAGACACCCTGACCTCACGATTAAGGTTATTTGTTAAATTGTAGCTGAATGATCCTTTGGTTTCTCCTTCTGGACAAACTTTAGTTATCTCTAAGTTTCCACTAATTTCATTGATCATCAATATTGTTGTCAATGCAACTAGGCAAAGTTTCATTCCACCAATCATCTTTTGTGCTCTAAAATATTAAAAATTCAATTTTGGTAACTTGTTAACCCATTTTTCTTTTTTTAGTTCCAATACTTTCAAAATTGTCTGATTTTTTTCAATTGCTCACGATTATTTTTATTAATATTGAAAAATGAATATTTAATTAAAGTCATAATTAAATCATTTACCTTTATATTGTTAGCTTGTTTTGAAGTTGTCTAGATGTATGATTCCTCGGAAGTTTGAAGTTTTATAGCTTGAAGTGACTCTATGCAGTAGTTACCAGCCAATAACATTGGTTGGATGTTACTGCTATTAATATACCAGCATGTTGATTGTTTGGATTTATCTGCTCTCTGAACAGAGATTGAGAAAAATAATGTTCATCAGAAATAGCCAATTTTCTGGCTGTCTGTGCTCTGTCTGTGTTTAATTTGTATTAATAATCCTACATAATAGTGCTATTTGTCAATTCAGAAATAACTTGTAACTCATTGGAACCGCAACAGTAAAAGTTTAAAAAAATGATCCAATCAAACATTTTCAGGAGAGTATACTATGTCACCACCAAAGTGGTGACATATTGTTATAGTGTCCATTTTTGCGGCAGCAGTTGCTGGTTGGTGATTGGTGGCTGGCGGTTGCTGGTTGGTGATTGGTGGCTGGCGGTTGCTGGTTGGTGTCTGTGACAATTTCTTACAACTTCCAGTAACTTAACAAATACTGTCTAGACTGACTTCAACTATTTTCAAAATCATCTTCAAGTTTTCAGAAGTTCTAATCTGACTTTATATTTAAGATTTGACCTTCAATGACCTTTTCAAGGTCAAAAAGGTTAAAAAAAGTCAAAAAGGTATTTTTTTTGCTTCAAATTGACCAGATTTTTTTCAAAATCATCTACAAGTTCTCAGAAGTTCAAATCTGACTTTAGATTTGATCTTTCACCTTCAATGATCTATTCAGGGTCAAAAAAGATCTTTTTTCAACTATGCTCCAAATTGACCCAATTTTTCTACAAAATCATCTACAAGTTCTCAGAAATTCAAATCTGACTTCAGATTGAACTAATGATGTTGTGAACAACTTGGTGGTGACATTTTGTCATGTTAATGCCTTGTTTTCCTGATTGAAATAAACACTGGGTTTTCTTCCCTTCAAAATGTATTAATATTTTATTGACCAATAAAAATGTATTTAAAATTTGGTATTAAAGTTATCTAAAATTACATTTTTCATGAAAAATGGTGACCACTTTGAATTCAGCTGCCATCTTGAAAATATTTTCTTGTGCAGAGGTCTTGTGATCATTACCATGAGTATATTTTTAACCAAATCCATCAATTGGACTTCTAGTTATCAAAGCTTACATTTTCCATGAAACATGACTACCATTACATATAACATCAGCTTCTTAAATGAACCAAATCCTATAAATGGTAGTTTATCAAAAACTACATTTTTGAAGTAAAAATGTTGGCAATTTTGAATTCAATGGCCATTTTAACATATAGAATCGTATAGAACCAAGTTAGTCAAGTTGTATTTTGGGTATCAGAGATTACCTCAATGAAATATGGTGGCCATTTTGAATTGAGTATCCATATTGAACAGAGGACCTACAGTATGTCCATAAAATTTGAACCAATCTGTAAACTAGTGTTGAGTTATCATCCAGACAAACAAAAAGATAGATGAATTGACAGACGGGGAAGTGTCTCCTCTATATCCCTCAGAAACTATGTATTTGGTGTGGGACAACTCTAAGTTAGATGATATGGCAACTACACGTTCATTTTTATCTCTGCATGGTATTTGCTACACAGATGTGCTGTTGTTTTTGTCTATAACATGTATCATTTGTTTTCAGACATATCCCCTGCTGTTAAGAAGCAATCAGGAGTGCTGCAGACATAGCAGAAGGTAATAAATAACATATATATGCATATGTAGATAAAAATCAGATCTCTCATAAATCATATCCTCGCTCATAGGATATCCTCAATTACCATTATATAAAATACCATAATCCTCATATCCACTCTTAGCACTTGGAAATGCAATTTACTAAATCACCCCCCCCCCCCCCCCATACCCTACACCATACACCATACCTTTAGTAGATTTTGAATGTGATTAATTTGTGAACTGACTGAGATAAACTACACCCGCAACCCACCTCATACACTTCAATCCACATTGGTTAAGAAATTTGAGAACATGATGCAAGAAAGGAAGGACCACAAAAGGTGATTCATTTATGCAGAAAAGTTGTTTCTTGGTCAAAATTTCACTTTGTTTTTGTCTTGCAGTTTACTCATAAAGAAGTCAAACAAACAAAAAATGATAAATCACACCTAATAGTTGGCTTTGTGTTTGTGTAACTGCCATCTTTTATGCATCAGAATGTTTATTACCCAAACAAATTCAGAACCCGAGCCAGCTTGCAGTCCTTTGTAATCTTAGCTATGCATGCCAGTGGTACCTATGTCAGTTCGTCTGTATGTCTGGGTGATAACTCAAATATAGTTGGCTGATTTTTGTTCATGTTTTGTACACATATTTCCTATAGGGGTAGAAGTTCTACTCGAAAGCTGATTCGTTTAAAAATGGTGGCCATTTTAGTGCAGATTTTACAGTTATTTCGGTACAAATATATATAAAACTTTTATAGCAATGTGATTTAGATGTAAAAAAGTTATAAAGGACATTAATAAACCTAGAAATGTAGATATTTAACAAACACATGGCAGCTATCTTGAGAAATGGCGGCCTTTACACTCAAGTAGTGGAGTGATTTTGTTCATATTTGACATGTGAATACTCATATACATGGCACACTGTCTTATGACACTTTGGCTAGTAGTGAAAAAAGGCCACCATTTACATTCACGTATGTGCGATTTTGTTGAAATTTTATGTGCATATTTTTAAAAGCATATCAAACTTTCCAATGACAATTTGGCTTGTGAGCAACCATTTTATGTGTTATTTTACAATACTTGCTGAAACTTAAAATGTAGTAGAAGGATTTCGTAAAAATGGCAGCCATGGCTGTTTGGTAGGATTTGCTACGCTTTGGTGTTGCTGTTATCTAGTTCCTAATAGTACTGATTCCACTCTCTTTCATGATAATTTCGTGTTTTTTTTAAAGACACCTTGGCATTTTCTGAAGGAAAGGGGGGCACTATTTGAAGATTCCATGAATTCATCATTTTAAGATTTCAATGGCATTCTGTGTGTTCTTGAAAATTGAATTTTTGAAAATATGATGGGTAAAGTCTGCTATGGAGATATGCTACTATAGCATATTTATACCAATGAATATTTTTTCATTGTAGTTCTTAGAGCAACAAAAGAAGAGACCAGCTGTAGCTTACTTATTAGACTCACTGCCTGATAACCACAGCAGGCAGCTGTTCCAAGATGCACAGCTGCAAATATGGGCTTTACAAGGTATGAATGTGATTGTCTTGAGGGTGAATCTCTATCACAACTTGGTTTGCATCCTTTTTTTGTTTTGCCTTTATGAGTTGTTACATGCATGAGTAAAATTAATAAACAAACATATGTAACATGTAAACAGTCTGTAAATTTTGTGTCAGAAAACTTTGTCAAGTTATTTATTCCACCAAATTGGATATAGAGAAGCCATCCATTCATTAGTCCATCTGTTTGTTTCATTATGTGTCTGTACAGATGATCAATCAGAAATTGTTTTCCATATAGTTTTTTGGTTGAAAATTTATAAGCTGATGTGAAAGAATAAGTGAGTCAGATATCATTACTAAAATTGTTCTATTTTCAAGTTAACTTTCCTTTGAGTAATATCAGTGAACTGTACATTACAATTTGCTTTCTGATCTTAATAGAAATGTTTTTACATGAAGATGGGAATTCTGTTATAATATGAATATACTTAGAAAATGCAGATTATGATAATATATTTCCATTACCTCTATATTTCCTCTATATACAGGTTGTTCAAAAAAAACGCAACCCAAAGAAAGCGCTATATCTTGAAAAATATTGGTTCAATTACGTTCATATTTTCAGGAAATAAAGAAGAGACTGTGTATGTAAAGCTCCTGTAAATGGTTAGTTGGAAAACATGATGCCTTGGACACCTGCTCAAAAGACAGTTGTACTAGGAAAATACGAAAAACGCAGTCAGGGGTCACTGCTACCGCAAAAAATTAAATAACTTCCTAACCATAGTGTTTTGGCTCTTCAAATTTGGCACAAATCATCTTCATTCACTGTATGGTAAATCTGTAGAGTGAAATCAAAATCACTTCAGGGACTTTACGGTCATGGTTGAAATGCTTTAAAATCGCAGTCAAACGCCCTGGTTCAGGGAGACTTAAGAAGGCATTTTGACCATAACTGTTAAGTCCCTGGACTGATTTTGATGAAACTCCACAAATTCACCACACACTGAATGAGGATAATTTGTGCCAAATCTGGAGTGCCATAACACCATGGTTAGAAAGCTATTTGGTTTTATTGCTGTGGCAGTCACCTCTGACTGCGTTTTCACATTTTCCTAGTACAACTGTCATTTGAGCAGGTGTCCAAGGCATCATGTTTTACAACTTACTGACAACAGGAGCTATACATACACAGTCTCTTCTTTCTTTTCCTGAAAAAATGAACATAATTGAATTAGTATTTTCCAAGATATAGTGATTTTCCATTCGCGTTTTTCGTATTTTGCTAGTAGAACTGTCTTTTGAGCAAGTGTCCAAGACATCATGTTTTACAACTAACTAACAACAGGGGCTATACATACACAGTCTCTTCTTTCTTTCCTGAAAATTTGAGCATAATTGGATTAGTATTTTCCAAGATATAAGGGTTGCGTTTTTTTTTGAACACCCTGTACTATATTTCAGATTGAGTTTGCTTGCAGTAATGGTGTTCAACAAGACACAAAGTTCCATGTGCGATGTGGCAAGCAGGGACAGTGGAGGCGGACAGCCCCTAGTTTAGGATATGTTTAAATAATGAGATTATTAAATGTACCTGCATGCATCATTTTACCAAAGCAGTTAGACAAAGCAGACCATGGGATGTCTGTTAGATTCAATATGACATTCATTGCATCTTCTTTCTCACAATGAACAATGCGATTAGAAAAGAACAGATTGCCATGCAATACAATTAAATGTCTTGATTAAGTTCTCAGCTCTTCCATGTTCATTTAAAATGTTCATTGAATTATAGATGGTGTTAAAGTAGTTATAATAAACCAAGCAGACCCTACACAATCTACTGAACCTCTGAATCCTTTTGCATTGGGTCATGTCTCCAATGATGCACTTCAAGTCCCATGTGTAAGCTGTCCACCCATCAATGTTAACCCTATGACAGGACCCTATGACCATGGAGATTGTGGGAAAGGGACATGTGAAATTCATGTGTAAGGACAAAAGGAACAGGAAAATTCAAGGTAAGTTCAAATGAGGACTGGGTAAGGCCATAACAAGTTAAATATTAGTTTTTGATGGCTTCTCTTCTGTCCCAAAACATTCCTGCTAAATCTTTTTTCTTTTAGAGTCTCCAGGATTTTCTTTCATTTTTTTTACATGTAGCATTTTTTGGCAAAAGTTTATTTTATATTAATTTAAGAATTTAAGATTATGAAATAAACTTTGATTAAAAAAGTCTTAGTCCAATTCGGAAAATAAATTCCACTTACAGAAAATTAACCATGAATGGCCTAATTGTATGTGCATAAGCAGGAATCTGTTGTTCAGATCTGGATTCCATGTGTCAGTACGTGTTAAAGGTTTACCTGATTGATGCTACAGATTGGTATACTTTAGTTCATTATCTAAATGTTCCATAGATTCTCCAACTACCTGAGACTTCCCTAATCCCTCAGGTCACGGCTAATCGTTTATATACCTATACTGGAAAGTTTTTACCCAGGACCTACTGTAAACTGAATGAATAAAGCCCACAGACCACAATGTTGTAAAATGTTTTTGTTAGCTGTGAAAAAGAAGTTATCAAACAGTGCATAGATTGTTTGGAGAAATAATTATTTTGTCAACTCCTCAAAGTCAACAGATAAACTGGTAAAAATAATTGGGTTAACAGTTAGATTGTGAACAACCTGTAATTAGTGGATAGTCCCACCTCAAGTTGAACCCAATTAACGGCAGGTAATTAAAAGATAAGAAACAAAATATTTTCTGAAAATGTTGCTGTTACCTCTACTTGCCAATTGGCACCTCAAGCTATGGTAGAGTATAATGAGCCAACTTGTTTTACAAGTAAATTAAAGCATGGGTTTTCCAGGAAAGGTCCTGATTAAAACAATGCTTTCAAAGAGGAGTATAAGTCTGCTTTAATGAGACAGTGTCTTCATTTCATTTATTTTCTGCACACCTTTGCTGTCTAGGCATAGGGTAATTTCCTCTGCAAATTATGAATACAGGTTTCTTGTAATTTGACTAATTTCACACTGTCTAAGATAGCACTATTGTTTATATCAGTTCTAGGATAATACTGTTGCTTTAATTTTTCAGGACTTGGGTGGAGGCAGCACTGTCTTAATTGTCTTTCAAATGGTGAATGAGACAGCAATGTTTCAACATGTAAGTATGACAGCATTTCATTTAACACCTCATTCAGGTATTTTAAAGATCAAGTCAACCTGACATCTTATTAGGGCTTCAGTTGTCACTGTTGGAGACTTTCCTGGTTATATCTTTGCAATATATATATATCTTCTATTGACTCTTTAGATGTCATATCATGACATATTAGTCACTAAGGTAGAGCAGTTCTTCCCATTGTCGAGTTGAAGAACTGGTATCTTTATCCTGGCTAGAACCATAGACAATTCTAGCCAGCGCCAGCCTTTTATCGAGCACTCTAGTAATCGCCGGTATAGGTCAGCAGTCATAGGTCAAAGACAAATCACAAGAAGTCTTCCAAATGAAATGAAATTACATTGTATGGAAGTCTGATGTCAATTTCACATGGTCTTTCAATTGAACTAAAACATCGGATTTCTTTTTCATTTTCATTCATGTTTTTTCTACAGTTTTAGCCAAAACACATGAAATGTGGACATTTTTGAACCCATCCTGTATATAACATGCTAACCTTATATCACCTAGGTATCCCTAGCTGTACAGAGCACTTACCTGTGGCCAAGACAGACGCTGCCTTGCATGTCCTAGCATGTTTAAACCTAAACGCTACAGCCAAATACTTGGGCCAGCTCAAGCTAAGATTCTCAAAGTCTGAGGATGAACCCTGTTTTTTGAATGAGTACCCATGTGAAGACGAGATTGGTCAGTTGTTGAGACTTCCATCATAAAGATACAGCTAACTACATTTCTCTAGTGAAGGGCTCTATGAGTGCCATTCTGGAGGAGTGAGGTACGTTAAATCATGTCATCAAGTTATCTATGAAACGATTCAAGCAAAGCAGCGTCAATGTAAGATTACTTTTTGGACATGTCACAATATGTAGAGTGATTCACAAGATGGCCATTCAGTGTATTGTTCTTCAGGTGCAATTTTTATCACTGGCTGTGTGTCTTGCTTTGAATCACTATTTATTCACTGGGCTTAAGAAATAGTTCAGATAAACAATTTTGATGCTGTAAATTGTCCCTTTTAAACATAAAAGAAAAACGTTTTTTATTTATTTATTTTTATTTATCTGATAGAATTATTGTGTACACCCATAATGCATACAATATACAGTAAAATATAAAGTTCAATAAATAAAATATTTTGTCTATTGCACATGCCTGTTTTAAGATGTCAAACACCAAACATACCCCCCCCCCCCCCTATCCCCCTTGTCTTTCAACATGCTGTTTGAAGATATACAGGGTGTGGATAAAGTCTCTTGGATGGATGGACACTTTATGGACACCCTGTATATCGGGGAAGGGCTAATCTTGATGCCCAATGAATAATCTGTTTCTAAATGTCCAATATTCCACAATACTAAAACTATACAATATATAACTATATATCAACATTATCAATAATTTGTAGATCGTCTATATAAATGCAACATTCTTGGATAAATACCATATTGACACATTAACAATGGAATATGGATTATTTCAAAATATTTCATATTTCATTGTCACATCTGCCTCCATTATATTCTGCTGTATTTATTTTGGGCCATGTGAAACTTGTATATTTCCAGAACATACTTCATCATACATACAATATACACGATGGACAATGGTAATGCAAAGAAGTAAAATATGAGAAAAATAACATTGAAACCTTATAATATTTATTTGATATCTTCCAATCAAATTGATTCATTGATTCTTATAAACACCATGTGTAGTGTCATTGATGATGTGAACTAATCGGGGATCAAGTGAAACACGGAGATATGAGCCAATAAATCAAATATGAAAATAGCTCACATAAATATTCAAAGTCCACGCTCGAAATCATCAAGTCCAAAATGTGTGCAGTATAAATATTTACAGATTTATACCAAGTGAAGTAAATCATTGTGTCATCATTTTAAAAACAAGAACGCTGTCTCAAGATAAAGAAGAAAGCGATTCACAAAGATGGTTTTGATTTCAAAATATACAAAGTAACTGTACTTCAAAACCTGCTGTCTGCCATATATACAGAATACAGAAAAAGTCATGAAGATGCTCATTCTAATGAAACAATTGGAACTATACCTAAACGTCACTAAAATGGCGTATTTGTATTAATAAAACTTGGCCAAAAGATAAAATTGTAAACTTGATACCAGCTTATGATTCTAATTGAAAGTCAGATTTCATTTTGAAGCTAATACCTTTGTAGCAAGTGTTCATATTTGTAATTTGCAATTGATTTTGTTTCTTACTCTGAAAAAGCTGCTTCATCCAAATAACCTTGGGTATATGTTTACATCAATACTAAACAATACGACTGATTTGTAACCATCACTTCACTACTTTACACATATGTAAGAAATATGAGATAAACAATACCATAAATACCAGGTTCTTGTACCAAATACACCCTGGCTAAATATTACTACAGAACCTTTGTGGATATGATCTTATTTTCTCATCTTCAAGAGATCAATTGTTTACAATACATTCAAAATGGAGATTCTTTCACAAGAGGGTGATGCACTGGTAAAGCTCTTAGTGCATGGTCACCTTCATTGCTTTGTAAGATACGTTGCCGGGATTCATTCCTATGCATGAACAACATGTGATTGTAGCTAGCTTGTAGCCTGTAACTCTGACTGTCCAGTTTTTCCCTCAACTCCTGTAGGGTCTTCAGTAGCATCTCCTTCCTTTGTAATGTCACTTGTCTTTGAAATCTCAACTTTTCTTGTATTCTCACCCTTTCTTCTTCCTTCGCTTGGCGGATCTTTTCAGATACGACCCATTTTTCCTTCCTTAGTCTCGTAACTTTCTCCTCAAGGCTTTCACGGATCTGCTCAATTGATCTTCCCGACGCTTTGCCGGCCCTATCGTCTTTTCTTGATTTAATCATGGCTATATCCAATGTATGGTATGCTCTATCAGGCTTGCGACTGCCAGTAGTAGTGACCTCCTGTGCCACGTTATTGTCAAGCTGGCGCAATATAACTCTATCCTGTGTGATATTTTGTCTCACATTTAACTCATTGATTCTTCTATTATCACATGATTTGTCCAGATCATTCAATGTCTCATCGTCACTGTTACAAGGGGTGACATCGTCCAGATGAGAATCGTCGAGTGCTGTCTCCAGAGACTCTTCATATTCAAAACTGTCCTCGAATGACGGGGTTAGCTCTCTCATTACCCTAGTCTTAGTTGTCCTGTTGTTGATGTTCAAACTTTGAGGTCGTCCTTTTGCCGGGATTACAATCGGGACAGTTACATTATGGGTTGTAGGGCTTGTATTCCCATGTCCGTTTCGAAGTTGTTCGTAGTAATGTCCAGAAGTGAAACTATCCGTGCTTGTCGCCATTGGAGACTCGTATGATTCCATCGTTGTAAAGCTTGTTTCTGATGGAACAGTGCTTCCAGTTGATGTCATGGAACTTTCCATGATATTCACATAGTCATGAACGCCGGATGACCTTGTTAATGTTCTATCATTGTCGTCTACTATAGGCGAAGTCATTTCGAAATCACACTTTCTTTTCTTTCTATCTGTGTCGAAACTCTTACCAGAGCTATCGGAATTAATGGATGCTTTGCGTTCTCCGTTTTCCTTGAAAGGTTTCTGGTTTGTTGGGGAATAAGCTGGTGAACCAGATGTAATACTACTAGCAGGGCTCATGCTGTCGGGCGAGGCCAGCCATGGGTTGGTCCGAATTCTCGATCGATTTTTTGGAACAGTTGCGTATAGTGTATCACCGAAATGCTCCAACGTGAGCTTGGTCTCATTGTCTGGGATGATACGTGGTCTCTGTGATCCTGCTCTCTGGCTTATTGTACAATAGGAGTCGATGTGCTTGTAGCAAGCGCAGTTTGTCTTAGTATCAGCACTGAAGATATTAAAATGATCCACTTGGCAATTGTTATTGGCGTTGTTTACACTGTTTTGATAGCGCTTATCATCGAAATATGTGAAATCATCAGTCACTAAAAACTTGTTGGCTTTCACTTCATTCTTGCCTCGATTGTTTGGTCTGCAGTTTCCGTTTGCTGAATCAGACGGGCTTGTTGGACTAGAGGTTGCTGTGCTTGAATTGGTTGTCTCTTGTGGCTTAGTTACGTAATCAAAAACTGGTTGTCCTTTTTGCTTCTTCTTAGATTTCTTCGGACGAGTGAAAGAATTCGTCCAAAATTCTTTAAACTTCATCCTTGAATTCCAGCCTTTCAGCGACACCTATCTTTGGTCCCTGGAAATACATGAAAAACATGGGTCATTATATGTATTTCATTATGCCTTTCATAACTCTTCATGTTCGAATCAATAACGCAATTTCTTTGATCTTCAAAACACGTATTGATCGGTTCTTAAAAAATAACCATGAGCAGAGTTTTATGATTACCATAATTTCGATGGGATTATAATTGTCTAGCCGTAGGTGCTATTTTAGCTATAGATCTGACGGATTGTAATTCTAACAATCCCCTAACTACCTACATCTAAAGGTTCTTCTATAATTACATTGATGACATTTAGCCAAGGGTTTATTTCAATCTTACAAGTGTAATTAAATCTATAATTCGTTGCATACGTTTGGTTCCCTGCCAATTACTTATCTGTAAATATCAGGAATGAAGAATGTAACTTGAAAATACCAATATTAGTAGTGCTTGAGAACGTAAAAAGTATCAGAACATATCACTGCGTATAAAACGCTGAAATGAAAATCAACATGACCCGAGGCAATCAAATGAATATTGTCTCGTTATTGATCTTTGTTATCTGTTCTTACCAACAAGATACTCCTCCAAGCAAGATAATTGATTGTTTCCTAGAAATCTTAGTTATTGTCAGAGAGGCTTTCACGATGAACTATTGATCGAGAAATGTGTTTCCCAGGTGACTTCAAATCCCAAAATGCCTGGATGAATAAATAAGTAAAGACGCTTTGAAGCAATCCCAGCGAACCAACAATATTTAGTATTGATTCATTGGGTCAAAATAATCGGAAAAGAAAAGACCATAAATTTCTCGTAAACATCCAAATCATAGCATCAAAAACAAGTGAATCTTGGCACAGATACCTCGTTTCCTTGACCACGGAAATGATTCTCAATGTTCGTAATCTTAATCCCAAACTTCTGGTAAACCAGATACAGGGGATGGGGTTTCTGGTTTTTGTTTCAATTGTTTGTTGATGGAATCATTTTTTGAGATCGTAGCTCAGAAAGCTTGGCATTGAGTTAGCAGAATCATTTACATGTGGTTACTATAGTAACTTGTTTATAGCATCTGAACTAGAACCTTATTGAATAATCTGAACCCAGATGGTAATTGCGGAAATAAAAGATTAGTTATACAGGTGGTGACCTCATGCAATATCTGGGACACTCTGATCCGTATTTTCCATCAAAATTTCTTCATTCCACTGACTAATTCTTATTGATCTTTTATGATAACTGCTGTAATAATTTTGCATCAATTTAGTCACATTATCAAATGTAAATGAACGTAATGTTATCAATCTCTTGTTTCGTGTTGTGGCCATTGTTGTAAGGCGTCGATATCTGTACTCTGCATTTAAGTCCAATCTGGTCATGAACAGAACGAATAATATAAGTATTCGCAATGAATGTTTACATGTTCGATATATGGATCTTAATTGAAATACCCTGTGTATACATGGTATTCAACTATTGGCACGTATTTAATTCAGTAATGTGAATATAATGAGGGAGTAAAATGTATTGATTAATGATTACGTCGTACTCACTAAAAGTAATTAGAAACATCACAGCTTGGCAAAAAATGACAACTATACGTGTTGTCATTCCTCTTTAAAGTGGAAGCAAAAAAATAAAAAAGAGGAGTAACATGGAATGTTGTTAGCATAACATATAAAATTGTGATTAACGAATCTGTATTGGTCTCAACTCATCGCTGGTCTTTGTTATCCCTTTAACACGAGTGATTTCACGATTTAGGCCAAAGCACTTAATTCATGCTAATTTTCAAGAGGCACTTCTAATTTATATGATGCCTTCATCCTACTGCGAGATCTGTTTTTATGTTTACGTTTTAGTTAACAACTTATAGCTGATTCCAAAGTTTAAGAATTATCTATTCTTTGTAAATTCATTATATAGATTACAAAAAAACATGACTCTTAATATTTCAAATAGATTACTATGAAATGAAGTAATTTGTAAACAAATTCTTCTTCCTATAAACTGATATATATTGATATTTTGCATTATTTTGATGGATGACCCTTTCCACATAATCTCTGTATTCATCTATTATAATCTGATAATGTCATTGCACGTCATTCATATCCTCAATCGTCTCACCTACACGACTATAGCTGATCATATCCAAACTGCATTAATGTCAACATCTCCTTGTCTTCTGCAGTCTGTCCTTATTTGACATTCCTGTTTGCATCAACAAATGCCATCTAAATCATCTAAGCAGTAATATGAGCAATGCTCTTCTGTATTATATTTAATATGCGTCTATAATATAGCAACTGATCCCTCTCTTCTGGGGACCTTTGCAGGATTTGTTTCTCCCTGGTCGTTATTTTGCTCATAGAGTTCGTGTACTGACATCACCTGCCAAGGGAACGATCTAGCTACTGATCGCTGTGCAAGCCACATCGTTCACAACCCAGAGCAATAAGTAAAAGCATACGTTGCATGTATTGGATTACCATGCATTCATATCACAAACCGACATAATTTATTCAAATCCTCCATATCTTTTCTTGTTTCTATACTTACGTGCTCCTATCAATCTGGTTTATCAAATCCATCTGTGAATACTGACCCACCTGTAGAAACATTTACAATCGTACGCTAAGTATCAATCACTCCTAAAAAAACCTACCAGCTAAACAAACGCCGTTAAACTAAGATGACCTCGGTATAATGCATAGTGATAACGATACACTAACTGATGAACCAGAACCCTCGGTTTTCACACTACTTACATCATATTCTGCAGCGTCCTGAGGAGCCCATGTCTTGGAATCCTATATACCTGAGAACGAGGCAAGCCAATCGATACCTATATGCATGTTTAATGATAAAATTGTCTCAAAGTAGACTTCAAATGATATTCAATAACTCGTAATCCATGTTCCGGATTGAGTTGGGAAACAGATTGGCTCGGGAACATGGATCTTCGTTGACGTTTCTCTTTGTTATTTGTAGTAAATTGTTATTGATTCTTGTTTCTATGCAACTGACGCCCGCGATCAATTTGCCTTTCAAACTGAAACTCCTATTTTGCGGATGACTACAAAAAAAACGTTCATTCAGTTAATTTGTATGATAAAAGCAAGCAAATTTAAAATCCATTTCATCGGTATCACAGGAAGCACTGATGCTCGTAAATATGAGATGTTCTTTTAAAGCTAATGAACGTTAAGAAAACTCCTCCTACGAATCGGTTAGCAAATCAATGCTCTTGTTTACTGTTCCCAGTCTTTCTATTTATATCATATGTTTCAATTTTATCAGGGCTCAATTAGCCGACTTCAAGGAGTTAAAAACATTGTTTTACACGACTGATTCGAAATAATTTTAAAAGGATTTTTAGCAAAACTGATAACCATTCGAAATGTTTCCATTCCCATTTCTATTTTGTATCTGCGTGAAATTGTTGATTAAGCATAAATGTTACCGTCAGATATAGTTTTTTGGTCCAGTTCAATTTCCTTATCACAACTAGCAGCAGTGTTTAGAACTTCTGCACCAATGGATTTGTGTTAAAGAAATGTTGGATTACATTCTCCATGAACAATTACATGCTCCATTGAACATGTTGAATATCGAGCCATTCATTAATAGTTTGAAAAATCGAGCCCCTGAACATTTCACTATTTCTACATCAATTCTTCTACCCTTCACATTTGTTTGACTTAGCTTCTCAAAGATAGTTTCATCTACCATTACTCAGGGTACAATGATACAATCCAAACATTAATTATTAAGGCTGTCATAAATTAAATTAGTACAATGTAAGAGAACTTACTACTGAACAATAAACATAATTAAACTTACTGTATCTCGATATCCACTTATTCCATATTCCCTCAAAAACATTTCTAACTCCAAATGTTTTCAAATAAATTACTGAAATATGTACATTTATTTGTTTACATTCAATGAGTGCCACAAACGCGCCAAAATTGCCGTATCACTTTCTGTGCGATAAGCGTGTTGTATTCTCAACGAAATTGCTACCATAGATTGCGTAGGTCATGTCACGATAGGTATGTTCTTGTATTTTGTATCCGCTCTTACATTCCTAACTTTAGCTCTATGATGAATGGGAACATAGTTCAAGAGTTGCAAGATAATAGATTGATATATGAATCACATTTTCACAATACGTCAATTATTTATTTCCTGTCGGAGGGTAATATTTAATATATCACGAAGACGGTATATACAGGAGTTATACCTTATGTAATAGTACTAGTAGTATATTGTGGAAGGGTGGAATTCCTGGTTGTCATCAGTCCAATTACTTTTTTCAGGATAAAGTTCCAAGATTATTAAAATCAGCGTCTGTCTTACAACTAGTGACTTATGATTTACTTATTTACCTCTAGCTGACAGTGTCTAAACAAATCACGATGTTTTGAATCATAGAGAAAGATTCATTTCATACAAAGATCATGAAAATTGTATTCTTTTAAAAATTGAAGACAAAACATAGTAATTCAAGCAGAGTAAGCCCGGAATTCAGCGAGCTCTTATCTCAAACTAAACCCAGAAAACCTAGACATGACTCTTGTTAGCTCTTGTTCAGTGATCAGTAGTGGTTGAGAAAATACAGATACTGGCTCAGCCGTAGGTTACATTGACTTGAATGGGATACATAGGCATATCCCCCAAGGCTTGTACTCATGTACCTTATCGAATATCTTCATCTTACCCTTCTAATGATTACCAAGTCACTCTAAGACGCGTGCCATCTGGTTTACAGTTCAGCCATTTGCATTTTCAGAAGTAGATACTTGCTATTTGAGAAAATGTTTAAAGAAATTACTTTTCATATTGATTTACTTCAGAACTATATAGTACTTACCACCATAATGATCTTTCGCGCTTTTCGTAACAAAATCGTGAGCAGTCTTCACTGAGGTTCTTATAACAAATCAAAGTCATGCTTTTCATAGAACCTATTACGTAAACGTCACTCTCGCCTTGAGCTTGAGCATCATGAAATTGATGATAT